GCTGCCAGACGGCCCCTGAGAAAGGGGCTGGTTCACCTTGATGAAAGGTGTACTTTAGTGCAGCACTGAAGAAGTGCTGTACTTTGGTGTGTATGCATTTAATTTCCTTGCACTGTATTTAGTGTTGAGGTGCCACCGGTCAGTAATTCTGACCATGGCCCTCCGACCCTCCGCCACCGTGTGGGCAGCGGTCTGGCAGAAGCCCTTCGGGGAGTGGGGCCCCGATGAGTGGCTCCCTCTCTCGGGGGCCTGCCAGTACCCTGCCTTACGCAGGGTGGAATCGACCATACCGGTCATCTGAGGGGGGCGACTGTACCAGGAGACGGTTGTCCGTCTCCTGACCCCCCTCGGTATGTCGGCCGGCCGTATGGTGGGCCCGGGGGCGGGTGGTCGGACGACACCCGGGCCGAGCCGAGGCGCAGCCCCGAGGACACGAGGCGCGCCTCCATCGGGGTGCGAGTGGGACGCGCGGGCACGGAGAAGGGAGCGGAGGCAGGCCGACCGGGCTGCGTGCGAGGCGCGAGCGGCGGCGACCGATGCTTTGGGCCGCCCGCTCGGTGGAGACGATGGGCGCGCGGCGGAGCTGGAGGCCGCCGCGGAAGCTGCGCGAGAGGCAATGCGCGGCCTCGAAGCCGCTCTGGCAAGGTGTGGTGGTGTGGCGGCGAGGCCGCCGATCGACGACGCGTTTCTGCAAGCGATGCTGCCGATGGAACGGCCGGGGGGCGCGGTGAGAGATGGAGACTTGGGGGCGCTGAATGGCGCCGGCTTTGGGGAGAATGGCGCCGCGTCGACCGAGCCGTTGGAGGCGCGAAGCGCGGGGGAAAGCGTCGCGCCACCATCGGGGAGTGAAGGCGACTTGATGGAGGGCATTGGCGGTGAAGAGGCGGGCCATGGCGGGCCTTGGGACGATGGCGCGGGCGGCGAGGAAGGCGGGGTCGTAGGCGCCGATGCGACCGACGCGATCGGCGAGGATTGGGCGGAGGTGGCGGGGCCCTCCGTGAAGGAGGAGCCCATGGGGTTCTGAGCCGGCGCGGCGGCCGGCGAGCGGCGAGTGTCGCGGGCGCGGGGGCAGGAGCGAGGGTGCGCCTCGCGGGGAGTGAGGTGATCCGGTGGGGACCGGTGCACGGGATTGTCACGTGGGCGGGGGGAAAAGGGCTGAAGGGGGACAATGTACTGTAAAGAACTGGACGAAGGGGCCAGCGGGTGTGACGGGAGGCTGCACAGCCATACGCAGGGGGCCAGTGGTTGTTTGATGGGCGTATCTATGTGGCCGGAATTAGCTTGCTGTGAACGGAAATGTGGTGGCGGCGGACGCATCGCTCTCTCTCTCGCGTTTTGCTTGCACTGTGGCTGCTCCCCAGGGACCGAACGGCGGGACGAAGTGTAACGATCGGTTGTTTTGAGAGTGTACCGGCGAGTGGCGTGTGCCGCGCTGTCACCTGAGCGCACGGGACGCGAGGAGCGCCGTGCCACGTGCAGGAGTGCGAAAAGGGCACCTTGGCTGTGCCGAACCTGTCCCGCGGGACAGGAGGTGGGCACCCTGTGACGTGACTTGCGCTACCCACCTGGCTATCAGCAAGGCGCCTGTGAGAACTGCTGTGGCCGTGTTAGACGCCTTGCTTTGTCCTACTTACTGTGTGAAGCAGTTCTGTGTTGTGTACTGGGAAACATCTGCCTGAAACTAGCAAGCATCTGGCTGGCCATCAGCCATCTGTCAAAAAGTTGTTTGTGATTAGTGTGCTGTGGATGGAAATGCACTGTACTGGGGCTGGGATCTTGCTGTAGAGGTGCCCTTTGCAGGTTGTGTGACTGCCCTGCACTGTAGCTGTGTGTGTATGCTGACTGAGTAAGAATTGGCCATCTGCTGGGGGGATCAGCCATCGATTTGTAGGGGGATGGAGCAGTATACACTGTGAGTTGATTCATGAACCTTGCACCATGTTGAGCTGAACTGCACAGCATTCTGTGTGAGATTGTACACAAGAGAATCAGTATTGTTGCCTGCCAAATTGGCCAGGGCCCATTATGGCCCGGTCGAAGTATCAGGGCGCTATTGGGGCCCTGGGGCGCTATTGTGTTCAGGGGGGTACCCTGGGCAACCGGAGTAGGGGGTACTATTGCCTCCAATGTAGGGGGTACTATTGCCACCTATGTAGGGGGGACCATTGCCGCCTATGTAGGGGGTACCCTGGCCGCCAGTGTAGGGGTTACAATGGCAGCCGGCGTAGGGGGTACCCTAGCTTCCAGGTTAGGGGGTACCTTGGTCGCCATTGCAGGGTATACGCTACACCCAGCCTACCGGGACCATACTGGCTTTCGTGCCAGCGACCTGGTCGCTGTGCCGAAGTCGCGCGGGCGCTGGGCCCGGTCGAAGTAAAATAAAGTACAACGGGAATGGTGACAAACCGTTCAGAGGGTTTCGCTGACCCCCCCCCCGCCCCGTACTGGTCCAAGTTCCGACTGCGCAACAAACGTGCAAAAAGTGCTACAGAAATAGTGACATACCAAGAAGGGGGTGCTGTTGGGGGCCGTGGGCGCTATTGGGGGGGGGGCTATATAGTGACCCCTGCTGTATCGCCCTTGTGCTACACACAAGTTGGTTTGGCGTGGTACATTGGGTGCAGTGATTGCTGTGAATGTCTGGCGCGACCCAAGCACGCACACCTGCCAAAAGGACCCTGATGCTCATGCACCAGCGCTTCCCTCGATTCGAGGATTGATCGTAGGCTTACCCTTTTTGGCAGGCCACGGGAACCCACGATGTGTGAATCGCCAGCCGGTGATGCTCATGACAACAGGTCGCAGCTGTCTTGGGTTGGCTGTGATAGACAGTGGCTGGGTTGTAGTGTCACAGTGCCAGAGGTTCCCCGTACGTGGCAATTCCATGGATGCCTGCATTCTGTTTCTCGATGGACACAGCTGTATTGGCCGAGTAAGTGAGTGCAGTCTCGGCGCAGGGCGGATGAACGCATCGTGAAAGGGCAAGGACGGCTGCATATTCCCTCTTCGTGGTCTGTGTGAAGCCACTGGCAATCGACTGGGATGCCCAGCATGACCATGATGACCATGATGATCAGGATGATAAGGATGACCAGGCGACCAAATGCCATCTTCCATTGTCTTCCAAGGCCTGCTGCGAAAAACAACTGCTGCAGGTCACCAGAAAGCCGATGGGCTGATGCACGACCACCCCTGTTGCTCCATCCCTGCTTGGGTCCAGGGCATCCTGGAGAGAGCAACACACGAAAAACTGAGTATGGCACTAGCTCTGAAGCTTGCAGGCATCAGGGCAGCGACCAACATAAGGTAGCTGCACAGTGTCCTGCAGCCATGCAGACATTCCTCCCAGATCCTGGCCATACCGCAAAGCAACTGCTGCTGCCCCTTGCCCTTGTTTTCTGTGTCAAAGTCAATCGCTTCCACCCGTTCTTCAACAACCACACTCTAGCTTGTATTGTCGTGTGTTTCCGACGAGTGTAATCAATTTCGCACACACTCTACCATATGATAGGGGTGTGACGGCTCACATAGAGCCACACGACTTCCTGGGGCAGGATGGTTTGCTAGTGGAAAGCACAGGGCGCCAATTCCTTTCGGACTGCACCACCCTGGGCAACAGACACCGCACAAGATATGCCTTACTGTCTGCTATCTGCCAAGGTGTAACTTAGTTTTAGGCGTAGGTTCCCCATTCTTGCTGCATGTTTTGTTTGCCACACAGGATTGTGTCAAAGCCAGAGTCCGTTGGCTGCAACTTCCGTAGGTAGTACATTGTGCCATGGTATGCATGCTCAGCAAGCTGCAAGCAGCCTGGCTTGCGAACATTGCTGCTGTCGATGGTGGAAAGTGGATGTGCTAAAGCGGAGCTACGTGGAGCACGGTTTCAACATAGCACGGATGAATGTGAGGGCACGATGGTTGGCTTCAAGCCTCCTGGGGATGCGAATGTGGAAGAAGCAACCTGGCTTTCAGCCAGTAGCACTGCCTACCTCATCATGGTTCAGTTTGAATGCACCTCTGTGGTATATATCGGCTACCAAAGCGAAACAATGCTATGCCAACTATGCTGAGTCTGTAAGATGTGGCGACTTAACTTGGGCAGGATGTCCCACACGCTTGCTTTGGTGAGACAATGAGGCACAGCAAAAGCCAACCCTTCAAAGGAAAATGGCACACACATCAACCACATCCGCAGTTGCTGCACCTTGGCGCTCGAGGCCCAACTACTTGTACTGTGGCACACTGCATATTGAGCAGGACACGATGTTCCTTTCTTGTCAGTAGCTGTGCTCTACAGACGTCCATTCAAACGAAACTTGCAAAAAAGCCACACTTTTCCCGTATGCTGACATACTCGTGTCAGCAGACAACATACCCACATACTCGTGCACTTACATACATACTTACATACGTATGCACACATACTCCTGTCAGCAGTGAGCGTGCTCTCAAAATATCAACAGTAAGGTTTTGGATACACAACAGGCCCTCTACATGAAGGTTCTTGAGTCTACTTTGCTTGTCATCGCTGCCATGGAATGCTGCCAGTTCACCACATCCACACCCATCTGCTACGAGCTGCTTCTTCCTTGACTTGACATGATATCTAAGCCCCTGGTTCTGTAAGAAGACCTTAGCAGAGATATGAACACCAATGGATAGGAACACCAGCTGCCCATGTGTGGCGTTTTTTTGGCTCAGACGTAACCCTGGCCTGATATCTGCCTCTGGTATTGAAACGATGCTCTCACTGCATGGTATCCTCCCCTCTACTTATCGTTCAGCAGTGGTATGCTTGGGTGCTCTATACTCGCCCCTCTCATATCTCATATCAGTCTCATATCTCCATAAGTGTCACCCGCCGCAACCTTGGTGCCATCTCACCACCTGCACCCCCGGTTGCCCTCGCGCTCCTTTGCACACGCCTGGGCGTCACCGACAATACTGGTGAAGGTCACGTGCTCTTTGGGACGACCGTACCGTGCCTCCCGCTGCACAGGCTACAAGCCCTTTCTGTCTTTCCTTTGCGTTTGCAGGCTAACGTGCAGCGGCTTATCGCCCAGCTTGGCGTTGTTCAGCGCCTGTATGGCCATCAGCGCGGACGCGTGATCCGTGTAGTTCACGAACCCGATCCCCCTGCTGTTACCCGACTCATTGAACAGCAGCTTCACGCTCGCCACGCCCCCATACGGCGCAAAGTGCTCGTACAAGTACAGCTTGTCCGCATCGGGGGGCAGGTTGCGAATGTACACGCTACAGGAGGGCGCCCCCGCACCCGCGCCGCCCACCGCGGCCCCGCCCACCGCGCTCAGCGCTCCACCGGCGGCCATCAGGTTGGCGGCGCCCGGCTGCCCGGGCACGCCCAGCAGCCCCGGGCTCTGCAGGGCCAGCTGGTTCAGCGCACTACCGTCCAGCCCCAGCCCCGGCGTCTGCATCGCGAGGGCGTTGATGGCCTGGTCGGGCGCCGGGACACCCAGGTGGCCCTGCAGTGCGATCTGGCCCAGGTGGTCTGTCCCGTTCGCGCCGAGCGGGGTGATCATACCTGGGTTCTGGTTGGGGATACCGGTGGCGCCCAGCACCACCCCCCCGCCGCCAGGCTTCTGGTAAGGGCTGAACCGGGCCTCCCGCGGCTGCTTGTGCCTCGCCTTGCGCTCCTTGTCCGCGGGGCTGTCTGCGTATTTGACCAGCAGCGGCTCCAGGCAGCCGTTGGGCATCTTGCCGTTGAGGGCGCTGATCGCGTTGGCGGCCTCGAGCGGGCTGCTCATCCTCACCAGGCCCACGCCCCCCCGCCCGGGCTCCTTGCTGTACAGCACCCGGCACTCCACGATCGTCCCGATGTTGAGAAATATGCCCTGCAGGTCGGTGTCCGACCACGTGCCCGGGAAGCCGCGGACGTACAGGTTGTCGGAGGGCGCAGGGCCGGCATCCTCCCCGCCCTGGCCGCCCTTGCCCTGCCGCTGGCCCACGTCCGCGTGGGCGAACTTCACCTCGATTGTGAGGTCGCCGACCTGCGCGCCGTTCATGCCCTCGATCGCCGCCATCGCCTCCTGGGTCGTCGCGAAGCGCACAAAGCCGAAGTTGTGGCCTCCCGGGTTGCGGGTGCCCATGATGCGGCAGGAAGTGATGGTGCCATAGGTCTGGAACAGGTTGTTGAGAGTGGGCTCGTCCACGGCCGACGGGAGGTTTTTGACGTAGACGTTGCTGTGGCCGACGTCCATGCTGCCGCCCGCGATCCAGGCACACGAGGTGCGGCCTCTCCAATATCGCCGCCGTCGCTGCGGGCGAGTTGTGGAGGTGTCCTATTTCATCACCGAACATCTCCATCAACCAATACGCATCAATGCATTCCGTTAATTGGGCCTTGTATTATGAGCTGGCAACGCGACCCTCCAAGTCACGGAAATGAATTTTCTGAAGTCCGAATGAGCGTTCTTGTGCGAGAATCGACCCCTGTGGCAGGGGGGTTACGTGGGTGGCGGGGTTCTCCGAGACGGGTGCTGTCGGGATGCGTCCCCGGGTGGGGCGGTGGCTGCGCTCGAGGGCGGCCGGCGGGAGGCGCACGGCAATCGGTGCCGCGGCTGCGGTGCGCCGCGCCCGCTTGCGCTCGAGGGGCGCGTTTCCGGCGCGATCCCACGTCGTCGCGGCAGCAATGGAGACCTTCACCGGCGCCGATCGTCACAACGGCAATGGCCCGCGCCCAAACGCGCGGCTCGGCGTTGCCGTCCCCGCGAGGGCTCCAGTCGGGCCGCGGAGCGACTCCGGACCCTTGCAGCGCTCTGCTGTGGTGACCATTGGCACGGCGACAGCGGCACCGGATGCAATCAGCGCGCCCTTCGAGGCCAAGCATTCGGGGCCCTCGGGCCCTGGAGTCAAGATTTGGAAAGCGGAGAGCGGGGTTGCGGCTACCACCCGGGTCGGTGGGCGTGCTTGAGCGCGAGCACGGGTTGGGGAAGTCACGTACCATGAGTGTCGAATGCGTTTTTGTGTCGATTGAGGGCAATGCGGCTGCGGCGATGGCTTGCGATTCCAACGTCCGCGTTGAGACTGATTCCCCTCAAGGGTGCAATGGCGATGGAGCGAGTGTGACTCCCTCGGCTACGACAGGGCCCCTCGCTGGGCTGCGGAGCGCAACGGGGGCAGAGACGCGGTGTTCTGTCGTCGTGTCCATGGCCCCCAGCACCCGCCCGTGCTCGTCGCCTGCCTTTTTGGTTTGATCCCATGCCCCCAGATGCGCCCACTGCAGGGCGCCGATGGTGCATGTGCCGACCGTCCGGAACGGCAAATCAATGCTCAAAGTTTCCTTTCGCGTGTAGCAGTGCCGCACAGCAGCTGTAGAGGACCGCGATGGCGCTTAACAATAGCCATCGGCGTGGCCATCGCTGCGCGGAGTGCAATCGCCGCGCCATACGCCCAACCGCCAAGGGCCAATGGGCCCAAGGGTGGCACAGGGACAGGTCGGGTGTTTCAATTGTTGCGCACGAGGGAATGTTGGGAAGGGAGCAGCGAACCCCCATCGGCGGGCCACCCATCGTGGTGGTGAATTGCATTGCTGAAGGCGGTAGGATGCCGGGGACAATCTCTGTGCAGGTGCTCGGTCGTTGTGCCACTGACTGTGATTGTGCGGGCGGGAGCTCGGAGAGAGAAATGCAAATGCCATCATTCAAAAAAGGTGCCTTCCTTTTCCGCGAAAGGGGAAAGGAGGTTCTGTTAAATAATGTGGGGACGACAAAAGTGCAGAACATTGGGCCGAAGGCCCAACTTCTGGACTGGTTTATCATGCTATACTGTACATTATAATCAGCTTCATGAATTTTGACGCAACAAGGCGAGTATATAATCAAAAGAAGAAGGAAGCGAGATTAGAATTTTGAAAAAACGATAACTTGTGGCGCATCTCTGGGAATTACTCATGGTGTTGATGCGACCTGGGACGGCTCCACTTCGAACGGTACACCACGACCAGAGGAAGGCACCCAAAACTGGGACTGTCTGGAGTTCGAGTTGTCTGCGGGCTGTGCGTCCAAGATGTCGGCAGTCGGCTACCTTGGAAGGGCTACCGGGACGCTGAGACTTTGCAACTTCCGCCCCTTGGCCCCTGGGGCGGCACGCTGGCTGTCCATGGAGGGCCTGAAGGAGATGCCGGAGCGGGAAAAAGCACAGGAGGTGGGAAACGATGCCGCTGGGCCTCCGGATGGCTTTCCATTGGGACTCAGATCGAATCCTGGGAGCGCGTCGGCGGCGAGGCCACGCGTTGGGCTTGTGGACTTGCCCACCCGCCCGTGGCGCCCGCATGTTGGTGACCCGCCTCGTCTTGCGCCCCATTTCCAGGCAGTTTACTTCAACAAAGAAGAGGAGAAACTGCTGCGAGGGGTATTGAAGAAGATCAAGTCGCAAGCGGACAAGGTGAGAGGCTTGATGTAGGGCCTTTATCAACTAACTGACTGTATTGTGACTGCCCAAGCGTGGGTTGTTGCTGTGCGTTGGGAAGCAATGACGTCCTGTTGCAACTCTGCGTCTGTGGATCGCACCTCAGGGCACAGCGAAAACCGATGCTTGTGGTCCCCTTGTTGGAGACTTCATGCTCAGCTGGGAATGAAGGGTTGTCTCGCTGAACAAATGTGCCCCGTTTAGACTGCAGTTCGACCATTCCTGCTTGGCCATCGGAAATATACAATGGGACTCTCTGGGAGGACTTCTGCATGATGGCCATCTGGCAAGGCGGCAGCACGCCGATCATTTGTGCGGGGTTGTGGTGGAGCCCAATATTTATTTGCAATATTGATTTACGTGTTCTCCAGGTGGACAAGCATGCTGCTGCTGGTCAAGATGCTGCTGACCTGTCTGCACTGAAGGTAATGATATTGCCACCAACATCCAGAGATTTGTGGATGCCAGAAAGATCACATGCTTGCCCCCTGTTTTGAGGAACCAAACATGAGTATGCCGGCAACTATGTTGCCATGTGCTCCACCCTATGCATCATGGTCCTGTTTGGTGCTTTTCACGAGAGGCCAACATTGCATTAGATCTGTTAACCAGACTGCATGCCATGAGTGCACTGAGGGTTCCATCAGAAAACATGCTCAAGGAAGGAGATGTTGCACCGTGGAGATCCATGAATCCTTTGCAGGTTACAGTCAATTGATGTATCTTTAGCAATATGACACAAAATCAGCTGACAGCTTTCCTTTTGAGAGGATCAGACCAACAGGAGTTTACAAGCCACACTTTGCATTGCATGCACAACTCTGTGCCTCTGTGCCAGTTGGTGATGGCTGATTTTCCTTATGGTGGCCAGGAAATTGTCCACAAGTACAACATGTCCCAGGAAGACCTTGCTGGTAAGTGCGCATGGCATTGTCCAGTGTGGATCCCCCCAAGCTCCCGTGCATCGAAGAAACCCTGGCTGTTTTTCTTGCTGGCATCTTAAGCATAGCATCTGATGGAAATCGCCCTGCTTCTGGCGTGCTAAATTGTTTGTTGTGTTTGTCGCAGCATTGCTCACCTGGAAGCACAGCTAGGTGGGCACTTCGCATGGCAGCATTGCTGGTCCATTTTTTGTTCCATCTGTCCACACAAGGGAGGCTGCTTTGTGGCAGCACAGCTGCTCTGGTTACAACTGGTTGTGCTCTGAGCTCTTCACTCGAGAATAGCCATGGAAAGTTTGTGTTTTGTGACACTTATTTGGCGATTCGGCTTGTAATGGAAGACTCATTGCAACAAAATGGATAACAGGCAACAACAATGGGCACGCGACTCCTAAGCGAGACCTGTGCGTGAGACTTTATCCACTTCATCAAAAATGATGTGGGAATCTCCGAGTGCAGCTGGAAAGCACACAACAAAAAGGCTGGCACTGGTCAAAGTGGGACGACTGCTGTTGGCTGTGGCTGTGTTACTTATGGGAATTCACAGTGCTAACATCCATATGCTGGTCACCAAAACCAGGCAGTGGATACCAACACTGGGTCACAGATACCATCAACCGTTGCTCACATCTGCATCTTTAATTCGCCGTCGGTCATGTTGGTACTTCACTCAGCAAGTGACACTCGACCGACAGACGATGACCGACCGGGTGACACCACACCGTGGAACAGTCATGATTGCCATGAGCACCCACTATGCATTCCCAACGGGCTGGAAAAGCACACTGAGAAATTGCGAATAGGGAGCGTATAGTGGGCAGACCTTCAAATGAAGCACCCAACACATTTCTGGGTGTGTGGCATGTACGCTGAGAAATTGTGCAATCGACACAAGATAGACTTGAACTATGAACATGTGCAAACCGCCACTGATCAACAGACAAGTCTTGACTGGCTCGAGAACCCCATTCGAGGGCTCAATCTTCGTCGAGGAACCCTAGAATTTGGGGCCCAGTTCTCTCATTTACAGTCTGCAGGGCTGGCCTTATCGCCTGCCATCACTCCAGGCATACCATTTTCAGCCCACTACAGTCGCTGCAGCGCTGACTATTGACTTCACTGAAGGCATTGCCACGTGCTCCACAGTGATTCGACCCTTCTGCGGTGAAATGATGTGTCTCGCTTAAAGGAAACGCTGCTGAGGCGAGCCAGCGGCGACGGTTTTGCCGGCAGACTCCCGTTATGTCGCGTATCATTTTTTGTTTTCCCATGTACCCACATGCGGGCGTTTTCCGCATTTCCTGTGTGCAATAAACACACCCATTTTGCACAAATCCTCTTGTGGCATACATGAGCCAACCTGGTAATGAGCTCTAACCGGCAATGGCATCTGCAAACGTCGTTCATCCTGGGTGCATAACTGGCCAGCGTGGATGCTGGCCACCCTACAGCAAATTGGTCAGATGGCAAGAGCTCAAGAGCAAATGACCCTGTGGGGCTCTTGCTTGACCCCCCCCCACCCCACCCATTGAATCCGATTTCGCCAGTTCATTGAACATCGCTATGACGCTTGAAATGAAAGGCAGATGACATCCAACATATTGGTTCAGGCTGTTGTTCATTCCACGGGAGCCGCCAGGGACCCCGCGCAGCCAGCGTTCGGCACCGAGGCGATGCCTTTCAGGCGCTATGTGGAGGTGGGCCGGGTGGCGATGATCAACTATGGCCCGGAGTATGGCGACCTGGTTGTGATCTCGGACGTCGTCGACCACAATCGCGCGTTGGTAGACCACCCCAACGCAAAGCGCCGGTGGGTCGTCAACTTCAAACGCCTGACGCTCACAGACTTCAAGCTGGAGATCCCTAGGCTGGCCAAGAAGGAGGTGCTAAAAAAGGCGGTCGAGGACGCTGACCTGTTCACGAGATTCGGCAAGACGACATGGGGCCAAAAGCTGGCCAAGCGGAAGGCCAGGTCGGAGATGACAGACCTGGATAGATACAGGGCGATGATGGCGAGGAAAAAGCGGTCGTGGGCCATCAGGGGTGCTTTCAAGCAGATCTGTAGCGACGCCACGGAGAAAGCGTCTTAGCGGAAATCTGAGGAAGGGGGCACTGGAGGCTGTGATTGGAGGGAGGACCAATGATCGGTGGTGGTCTGCTGTGGAATGAGGGCGGCCCAGGCGCTGGCATAACGTCCTCGTTGTGGACCTACCGGCGCACAGTTTAATTCTTGAAAAGCAGCGTTGAAGAGCAGCTGTCCCTGCAGGAATTGCCTCTTTGGATGTGGACGCAATGGCATGCCACTTTCGCATTGGGAGCAGAGGCTTGGCACATGTCGCTGCTTTGTCCTTGTGCTTACTGGGGCAGAAGTGGAGCCGCAGTCGCTCCCTACAGCATGCCGCCGCCAAATGATATGAAGGGCCATGGTGCTCGATTGCTCACAACTGATCTGTGGCTTACCCCAGGCAAATTTCTTTCTCTGCTGGACGTACTCTCATCAGGTTTATAATTGTTGCAGAATAGGATCGTGTCGGGATGACTGCCTTTGAATGCAGACTTGCAGGGGCGTCAGCACTGCACAACACCAGCGAATCCAATGCCAGGATGGCACAGTCTTTTGCTGTGGGTTCCTTCCAGCATCCTCACTGTGCTTTATCCTACCTGCTTGCCATCATTTCAAGCCATTGGCTGCTGGCCCTACGCCAGTGGAGCATGTGGCTACTAGCTCCTGTGACCTTGAACAAACAGGACAAGCTCCGCTTGGCAGGGATCGTTCCTTGAAGCACATGTGTGCCCTTGTTTTCCAAGAGAACATCCTTGTTGCTGTAACACAGCCTGGCAAAGGTGCACTGCTTTGCATTTCATCTGTTTTGCTTGGGGTTGTTTGCTGTGGGGTCTTGCGATTTGCAGTGTATAACAATTGAGTTTGCTCACCATTGTTTTGCCAAATTTTGAATTTTTAGCACCAGCAAACCAGTTGTCCAGTATTGGAGGATCTGATCGTCTGGAGGTTATTATAGAACACCAGCCCTGGACCCTTACCAAGGTCCAAGCAGGCAATGCATCTCCCTGCCGACCAGGGTATTGATGTGCCAGGTTAGGTGTTCGAATGGGCCTAGCTGATTGCCTCAACTGTTTTGGAACGGACCACCAACTCTTGGTCCAAATGGACCCTGCGCCCAAGCTGCGTGTCCTAGAACAGATATGTGCATTAAGGGTGACACCAGCTCGATTGGTAAGGAAGATGTCCGCTTGCATTTTGCAGGCAAAATTCAACCAGCTGTGTTGCTGTGTAGCCTGGGGAAGGATTGAGCGTCCTTTCTTGAGGTGCTATATGTTTTATGCATCTTGACTGTACGCCTTCTGCAGATGATCCCATGAGTGTGTCTGACCCCCTGAGACCCCCTGCACCCCTGATACTGTGTTTAAACTCTTGTGAGCAGCCTGGTCCTGATTTGCAGAAGGGGCTGGCAGTTCACAAGGTGTAGACACTGGCCATGCCAGCTTTGGCACATGTGCCAACAACCGCGTTCCGCATAAGGCTGCCGCAGCGTTGGCTTCAAAGTGCACCACTATGACTCCCCTTTCGACTGGCCGTATCGGGTCAATACTGCAGATTGGGAACATGATGTCATGCATTTCACGCGTTTCGTGCATTTCGGGCGCATATTGCCGCATGTTGTGCTCCAGCCAGCAAGTCCGCCAGAGTTATTTTCCCTCCGTGCCAGCGCTTACTGAGCACCTACTCATCACCCGGGGCTTACAAAGTCATCACAGGGCAGGGGAAAGCCGAGTCCAGGTCTGCTGCAAGTCGCTGCTGTCTCGCACCACGAGCACATACCCTCCCAGAGAGGAAACCCCTGAACCAAGGGTCGGGCAAGGATGGCCGAAGGGAAGGAGGCGTGGGGCAAGGGGGGCAGCGCGCCGCAAGCGAGCTACCCGCCACCGGGCAACCCGGCAGCAAGCTACCCCCCGCCAGGCTACCCTCAAGCAGGCTACCCTCAAGCAGGCAATGCTCCACCAGTCTACCCTCCTGCAGGCAATCCCCAACAAGGCTACCCTCCAGCAGCCCATCCCCAAGCCAGCTTCCCTCCAGCAGGCAGCGCCCCAGCAGGACACCCGCCGGCAGGCTATCCCCCGCGCGGCGACGGGCAGCCTGTCCCGGGCGTGCCGGCCCCCGCGGGCGGGCCCGTGACCGTGCAGGGCGAGTCCAATTTCGTGTTTGACAAGAACGCGCCGCTGTACTACCCGCCCGATGCCACCGAGCCAGTGTTCCTCGGCGCCACGAAGGGGCACGACTCCATCAACCTGCACTGCGGCAAATGCGGTTACCAGGGGCCTTCCAAAGTCGCGTAAGCCCCCGGGAAAGAGGGGGTTGAAGCTTTCGCCCTTTCCGTTCCTCGCTTTGACTCAACTCGCCGCAGCAGCTGCTCTGCATGGGGAGCACGAGTGTGCTTGTGACAAAGTCTTGCCGCGCATTGCTGCCGCGCAATGGGCGGGGTACCGCGATTTCTCTCCCTTGCTACCCATCAGGCACAACCATCTTCAATTGTTGAGCTTTCACTTATTCTGTGACGTCGACCTGCACGGTGTGTCTGCTTGGTGAAGTACGCGGCCTTCTTTCGCATGGCCTGCAGTTGTGTGGAACCACTGCAGAGCAATGCTTACGTCACGACCAGGGAATTCCAGCTCACACGGTAGTCTCTTGGTGCTGGCAGGCGGAAGGTTGGGCTTGCAAACAAGCTGGCAGCATTGCCTACCTTGGGCCTCAGTCTCCTTGTGCCCGCCGACACCCACCATCACTGCCCGAATTGTGGAACGCATGTGGCGTTTGCCAAGCTGCTTTAAACTCAATGGGATTACGGCCAGTGGCCAACGAACAGAGTAGCAGAGGTAGAAACGACATCGTGACTATCCTGTGGCAAAATTGATCAATGATCCTTGGGATGCTGGTATCCTGCTCATATTGGTGATGTACATGGGGCTGGTGGCTCGTCTGCAGGGAGTTGGCTTGTACAGTTTAGAAAGGTTGTAGTGTGCAACATGCAGCTGTGCTTTCTGTGGCAGCTGGTTTCGAAAAGTCGAGGCCCTTCTTTGGCTGCATGTGGGCACAGATGCTCTGTTGGGGTGCAATAAATGGTTCAACAGTTTGGTCTTTGCTGCGTCGATCGTTCAACCACACAGAATCTGCAACGACAGTTCCCGAATCCCAAACCTGACACAACAATGCCCAGTACCTGGCCTCATGGTGACGGTGTACCACACAGCTCATTCAAGGCGACCAAGAGTGCATCTGTGTGCTCTGCTCGCCCCACAGATATTCGAATGTACCCCTGCAACTCTCTTTTGTCATAGTGCCGCACCATGATCCCCCTTTGAGCCAAATTTTCCTTCAGCTGCTTGGCTGTTTGGTTTCCTGAAACCTGGTAGTGAGCCACAGGTGTCAGTCAACAATTGTGCAGCCATGGGCTATCATGACATGCACTGCCACTTGATGCACCTTGTGCAAATGTGATCTCTGAAGCCTGGCACTGTCACATCTAAGCAGATTGAAGTTTGAGTCCAGGTTCGTAAGACGAGGTTTGCATGCAGACCACCATGGAAAAGATACTGCCAGGTTTGACACAACTCTCCAGACCTGATCCGACAATGTCTGATAGTTGAAAGGGCAGCTATCTGTCATAGTTGGAAGTGTATCAAGCAAAGTGACTCATGCACCATGATGGGAGCATGCTCAGGGCATCTTGCGCCCTCGTCCACATCTAGAGAATGCTGTGCCAGTTTTGCTGCACACCAGGCGAGCATGGTACCAGAACTCCATTAAGATCCAGTCAAAGGGCAAGATTAGCCTGCTCGCTGGCAGTTTCCTCTGCAGACAGGCACTTCACTGTTTGAGTGCAAGGACTGATCTTACAGTTGCACAATCCATCTTGCCTTGCGCAGCAATACATTTTACTCGTTGCAAGCTCTACTAAAATTGGTCCAAGCGACACGGGTGGTGCAACCATTGGGCTGTCGATGGAAGACTTGACATGCCTACGCCAGCAGTCTGCATGGCACACCTTGCATAAAATGAAGTTCGAGTGAGATGGGTAGGGCTCCAGAAACGATATGGCTTGCAGTCCTTTATACAACCGCTCCCGTTCAGTTACCAATGCCTGGCGAACTTCCTGGGGAAGCAAAGCACAAGGTCAGCAAGGAAGGTCTGTCCCCAGCCTCGCTGGAATTTACTCGGTGGCACCATGAGCCAGAACAATACTCCAGGTATCGAACCAGAAGACAGACATTGATGCTGCCCACGCATCCAGCAACAGAATCAGCTCTAGGGCAAGGTGATGCAGTGTGGAGTGCACCAACATGCAAGGAGGTGAATGCCTAAACTCGCGTTGTTCTGCTACAACATCCTGCAGCCGGGTCGACTCAGCGTTGCAATGCCAGTCCTTGTTTGGTTTGGCAACGTGTCTGACATCTGCCTTGGCTGTACATCCATGTACCCCATCAGCAACTCAACGACGCAAATTAGACAAGCGGCACTAGAACAAAGGGGGCGTTGCTGCGTGCTTGTTGTCCATCATGAATTAACACAAACATGCAAACCAACAACGACTGTGCAAGGATATGCAACGACTCGCAGGTCAAAAGATCCTGCATTACCTGTAGGTATGTCTGGTTTCCCAGTGCAGCACAGGCAGCAACTTCAGCTGCTGCAGAGACATTGTATGGTTGTTTTGCTCGCCACAAATACTCCACAATGTCCAGGGGGAAAGCGCCATAGCCCACACGAAGACCAGCCAGAGCTGCCATGTAACCAACCACATATCAGCAGTAAGGAACAGAAATAAGAACACATGACATACACTGGCACTGCCCACACCCAACCTCAACAGGATATACAGCATAGTGAAATCAGCAGTACATAACCTCAGTATGAACACGGCATGGTATATTGGGGCGGTTGCAAGGGGGTGGATAGGATGATGGGGATGGGTTGAGCAGGGCTGCCTGTGACAGCAACAGAAGTTGCTGCACAAATTTGCACCAATGCAAAAGCACCGAGGCTGCAGCTGCAGCCAGCCAGTCACTTGCACCAGTGCACATTCCAAACCTCACCTGCACACTTGCTGAAAGTCCTCATGACAACCAGGTTTGGGCAGTCCTTGACCCATTGGATCCTGGAGGGCTCGTTGGCAAACTCTATGTACGCCTCATCCAAGACAACAAGCACGGGCATCGCCAGCACCGCCTCTAGATCTTCACTGCTTATCAGGCTGCCATCAGGGTTGTTTGGAGAAGTCAAGAACACCAGTTTGGGCTTGTGGTCTTCTACTGCCTGCCTGATATGCCAACACAGCAGCCCACTGAGAAGTTGTCCTGTAGAGCCACTGTGGTTGCTGGCAGTGCAACAAGGTGCACAATGCACCTCTGGAAACAGCACAACAAATATATGCCTTTCAAGCTGCAGATATATGTGTTCACTACCCACATACCAAACACTGCCGCACCTGATGCCCTCTACATCCAGTTGAAAGTCCTTGAGTCTTGGCACAGTCACAACCTGAGCCCCATTCACTGCTGCATCAAATGCATACATGGTGAAAGTTGGGGGGCAGTCCACAATAAAATCTTCTGGCTCCAGTGTGCACCGCATGAGAAGGTCGAGAAGCTCGTCAGCACCACATCCAACCTGCCACAGCAGCAGGGCCTCAATGCTGGAAACATGAGCAGTTCATGGCAGCACTTTGGAATCAGTTCGAAATCTGGGCGGCGTCGACACATCATGAGGGGGGGGGGGAACATGCAGCTTGCCGATGTTGCTGGCCTTGGGAATCAACACGACACATTGAATGGTAGCACCATGACTGCGTTTGCAAGGCAACCAATAACAATGTAGCACAGGCATGGGTGCACAAACTGCTTGTCTTTGCTGTGACGAGTGAATGGCTGCATTCTTGGCATTTCCTTCAAGAAGTAACGGTTTACACCCAACTCTTACTTCGGTCCTACCCTTGGGTACCTTTGCTTGGTGAACCCATCGGCAGCAAAACCAAGACAGAAGACAGCAGATAAACGTTGAAGTATGCCTGGCTTAGAAATCATTGAATATACAGGCAAAAACTGAAAACAAAGTTCTTGACAAAACGAAAAGAAGTTGGAGACGACTAGAAAAGCCACGTTCACAGAGTTGTGAGGGAGCCGCAGGCAATTCTGCAACTTTCCAGATGCGCAACTTTCGCCGCAGTTCCCTGTGTGTACGCTCGACACACTCATCTCCAAAGCAAAAGGTTGAATCACTGCCAAGTCACGCACGCTGATATTTGGCTAAGCAATCGACTCCGCCGTGAAAGGAACCGTGTGACCATCAACAGCATCAAATGCTGATAGCAGCCAGTGACAAAGCCATGGAGGCGCCCCCTCACCAGAAGATGCTCCATTGGCACACCGGTCCATTGGGCCAGAGCACTCCGCAGCCGCCTGCTTTCGGGATCCGGGTATATGTGCGGGAAATTCATTGACCCCAGCGCCGCAAGCACCTCCGGCGGCGGTCCGTACGGATTTTCGTTGGCATCAAGCTTGATGATGTCCTCCATCCTTCGGCCGAGTTTCGCCGACAGCACCTCGAAGGGCTCTATGGGCGTGTAGGGCGCCAGCTGCAGGAGGTGGCGCCGCAGGAATCGGGTGGCACTCCGATCAGCGAGATCCACGGCGCTGGGCGCGCCCCTCCCCGACGCCGTTGCCCCCACGTCGCTGCGTCCCGCCATAGAGCGGCATCGAGCGGGTGCCAGACTTCCCGCCGCGGGGGCCATGGGAGAAAAAGCGGGTGGTGTGCGCAGTCCAGGAGTCCTTGTGCATCGGTGTGTTTGTGATGGACATGTTGTTGGCAAATGCGGGCGAATGTGGAAGGTAAACGGAACGGGGACCTCAAGGAACACGCGTGACTTGTGTTTCGCCTGCACGTTAATTGCACATCAATGCGCACGACCTGGTCCGCGAGAAGCAGCCGGCCAGACAGGGCATCAGCCTCCGTTGAGGACTCCTCAACTCCATCACCCAGCAAATTTTGTTCATGAAAAGGTGGATCCTGCCGCCAACTGTTGATTGCTGTCAGCGTATCCGTTGCCAGCGTGGTTCCTTGGGCGTGGTTCAGAGTTCGTGGGATTCGCTGCAAGCGTTCACTGTTCTGCTGCAAGCGTGCTTTTATCACCTCAGGAGGATTGATCTTGGACCCACGGCTGGCCCAGTTTTATCCATGAGTGGGAGATGACGTTGCAGGCCGTTAGTTGCCCAATGGGCTGATGGAAGAATCCGGCCCAAGACGCCTTTTCATACCCCAACACCATAGCATCGCCGTCATCTTAAACCTCTGCGTTGTGTGTAAGTGTTGAACTCGCGAATGACTATGTCCTGTCGCAAGGCCATCGATGTTTAACATGTAATACAAGCTATCCCTCCACGCACAAGATGGCAAGACTTTGCTTCGGACACACTCTGTTTGTGTTGCCGTGTAAAAGAACCAGATTGATTCCGTGGCAAGGCAGAACTCAAGTCAAGCGAGGAGGACAATACTGAGGATGATATGGGTTGACTTGAGGATCAAGTGCAAGTCTATGGAAGCCTGCTGATGGGGCAAGACAGCAGGCTCTCTGCTATAGCCAATGCCATCCCTCTTCCCTGCATTTGCAGCATCGCCATCCTGGTAGACAATGGTTGTAGAACATTGAGTACGTTTTCTGAGCTCTTGCAATCACCCTGCATCGATGTTTCCGGCTTCCATCTCAAGCTTGTCTACAACTCTTGTTTGTTATTCTTTTTCCTGAGGTTGACCTTGCCATTCATGCAACAGTATATGACAACGTTAATGCTGTTGGCCAGGTTTGCTCTGAGGTCCTGTGCAAGTGTTAGATTTTCCATGTCCATCTGTACCAGACCATATTAGTGTGCCCCTTCTAGTGTGTTGCAGGGCCTGGGCGATGTCACGAATGAGGACAGTGACAGGGATTCGAAGGGACAGGTGCCGTTGTGCATCCATCACAGAAAAGAGGAATGTGGTGTTTGTGGGAGGGGGTGGGAGTGGAGTCAGCGTTGAAGTGATGATCTTCACAACGATAATTCCAGGAGTTGGCACTGGGCTGTGCTGCAGCATCTGCTTGTAGCACAGTGTGGAAGTTGCATGCACTTCTGATGGACTTCTGGAAGTGCACAGGATGTGGAACCCTTACGTTGGCAATGACAGAAAACGCCCAGAGTGAGTAGTTCCAACCTTTGGAGGTAAATTTCTATGTTTCTAGATAAGTGCCGACATATGGACAACATGCTGCACCCTTGGCTCCGTCGCATCAATGGCACCACCTGCTCCAGTTTTTAATGCCTGGTGTACACCGGAGGTGTGACCAATGGCATGCAGAGCAGTCAGGCCCAAGCACAGGTGGGGCCAAACACTGAGCAGCAATCCAGGGTTACCTGTCCAGACGCGAATAGAATCTCCTGGTATTGAGAGCATTGGCATGGGAAGAGTGTGACTCACAGTAAACCGAATTCGGCATTCACCAGCTTGGCCTGGAGTCCACCACTCCAGAGTGCCCCCGCTTTCACTGCACTGACTCTCTACAAAAGCAATATTGATTAACATCCAATGTCAGGGATGGTTAACTACGTGGCTGTGCTCAACAGGAACAAAGGGACCAACATTTGGTCCCGTTATTGATGCACAAATCCATGGCATTCAATCCTGGCCAATTACCTTTGTCAACACATATGCACTGAGCACGCATCAGGCCGGCGATTCCCAGCGCTAGTCTCACAAACATCTGCAGGGCATACGCTGTTCATGCTGCAACACGAACAGCGATGCCAGCAATTACGGGCACCCCTCTCCTGGACTCATGGGGGAGTTCTTGGCAAAACGATGCTCAAATGCACATGGGGAACAGCACAGCAATAGCAACATTTCAGCCAGCAGCGCATCAACACGTTTCAACAAAGTCATGACAATCTTAGACCAGTGACCTGCAATCTTTGAATTCACGTTTCAAGTCCTTGTGCTGCTGCCTGCGCCTCCCTTGGACCCAACCCCTCGGGGCTCTCCCTACTCGCCGATATCTTTGCATTGGACTCGACGCCTTGATCCGCGTACTTGGATTCCCCTTCCTCCGTGCGGTCGGTCGCGCAGCGCACTGTACCACTTGTTAGTTTCCCCTATATGAGGGCAGCTCTCCCTGTTGGAATGCCTGGCGCCAGTTGCCACCGATCGGCCAGCATCGCCTGGCGGCAGTGTCCACCCACGGCCTCGTACAGCGCCACCCCGCGCCACCAGCGCTGCGCTGGATCCCTATCCACAAACCTCGACGCTGTTTGGCAAGCCGCAAGAGCCGTCCAACCCCCCGCCGGCCTCCAAAAGGGAGGCCCCCGGACGCTGACCTCCGTCCGGAGCCGCCCCCACTCGGCCCACTGCAGTCCCTGACGTCCGTGACGCCTAAAGTTTGCCAACCCCTCCCCATCACCCGCAATGAATCGGACAAAAGGGGGCCACAGTACGCCAATTGACAGAAACTAAGCCTCCACGGGGCTGGACCATAGGGTCCACGAGCGCCGCTTTTCGAGTTGCTGGCCGTCGCACGCCTGTTGCCTGGTACCCACCTCACCCACCCGCCCCTGTATGTAGCCCAGCGGCGGCAGGACACCCTGCCAGAGGGGCGCGGGAGACATGACTTACGCCGCCGATGGCGCGGAGGCGACGCACCGCGAGGACGGACCGCGCACTCCCCGGGAGGGCGATCATGGGGCGTCCACGCCCAGCAGCGAGGGCCACAGGACGGACGACAATTTCAAGGCGGGGTCTCTGTGCGAGAGTCTGTGTATGTGAGCGTCTCGCCGCGGGCTGGCGTTGACGCGGCGGCGGGCGGTCTTTGGAAGCGATGGCGGGACTGGCCGTGCGCGCGCTCCCGAGTCGCAGCAAGCGCGCAGCGCGTCATTGGAAGTGGCCGCACCGTAGGAGAGGCGGCGTGTCGTCGAGTTAATTTTGGCGGCGATGGACGTCGTGACCATTCTACAGCAAGTTGCGCAGGCAGACACGTCAGCCGAAGATCGACGGCTGCGAAAGTTAGCCAATAGTGGCTGTAGGGCGCGTTGGCGGGTTGGCGAACTCCAGCCTTGGCGGTGGTCTCAGTGCCCCTCTGGTACAAGGGCGTTGGTCAGTTGATGTTTGGGGCCAACACGCGATCCAGCTTACGACAACGCGCAGTGCTCTTGTCGAAGTGTTGAGATACTATAAATTGTTTCCATAAGCAACGATGGCCGCAGCAGGGCCACAGGGCAGTGAGAGTCGTGCGCCTGGGGGTGCTTCAAGACTGGCTGACGAGAAACACTGTCTGTGCATTTTGGCTTGTGTCCAAGTCCACTGCAGTGCGTTGAAAAGATGTTGAATGCCCCTGCAGGTGATCGTCCGTGTTCGTCCCCCTCTGCTACGAGAGCTCAACGGTGTGAGGCCCTACCAGCACACTGTGTGTGTTGACCCTTCTGCCCGAAAAATTATATTGTCAGAAAATGTGGATGCCATTACCCAAGCTGGCGGACCTCCAAAAGATGGCTACATGTACGCCACTTATGACTTCACATTCGATCGAGTGTATGATCAAGACGATGAACAGGAGGAAATCTATCGACAGTCTGCCCGAGACTCTGTGCTCTCAGTGCTGGAGGTAGGAGAACAGCGATGCTGATTTTGTGGCAGCAAGTGGCTTCACCACTTCTTGTGCTGCACGTGTGGATTTTCAATGCACATTTAATGGGAATGAAAACAAAGACAACCACAGAACTGCTGCGACTTGCTTGTCTTTTACATTTGCATGCATGTGACAATGGCAATTCTGTGTGCAAGGGGTGCTCATGTTGAGGGTACAAAAAACGGATGGAGTGCAGCAACACATTGTTCCAGAAAGCCGTTCAGCTGAGAACACCTGTGGCTTTGAGACTGTTCCCTTTTGTGCGCCTGGTCTAGGGATACAACACTGGGATCATTGCATATGGACAAACTGGTACAGGCAAGACATACACCATGGAAGGTAAGAACCTTTCTCAAACCTACTTGTTATTCTTGCCTTGGCCCCACCATTCAGGCTGCATTCAGAATGCAGACAGGACATCGCTCTGCACCATGGATACCTTGAGATGGCTGAAAGCTTTGTTCTGAGAGATTTGCATGCACACTGGTTGTGTGCCTACATGCAACAAGGTGCCTCATGTGTGTGCAGCTTGCGTCCTTTGATAATGAACTCTGGGCATGTTTGGTATACCCCAGATGTGCTGAAGCGCCAAGGTGCATTTGTGGCAAGGTACAATGGATGGATCGGAGAGAGGAATAATCCCACGGGCTGTGGAGGACATCTTCTCTTGCATTGAAAATGATCCAGATCCGAGCAGGTGCTCAGAGATGTGGATTGTCAGGGTTCTTGCGAAATTGGTCACACAGGAAGGTAGCACAGGGATCTGCTGTGGGAGGGAACAACAACATACTGCCATTGCCATAGGCTGTTGTGCTGAAGGCTATGCGACATGCTGCCACTCTGCATATTGTGCCACTACGCGCCAGTGTTGTATGCATAGCCCTCTTAGGGACTGGAAACTTTTGCTGGAAAGACAGCGGCGATGCACATGGTGAATATACCCCCTACTTGCCTTGCAGTGGATCTTTGATGCACGCTGTGCAAGGAATTGGTTAACAGATCAAATATTGTGTTTGCTGTGGGCCACGTGTTGAGGCTATTGTCTAGGGCCAGAAACACCTCTGACCAGATTTGCTTGTGGGGACTGGCGCAGCAAATACCTTGTTCGGGCATCATACCTTCAGATCTACAATGACATCATTTCTGACCTCTTGAAGGAAGGCCGACACAACCTCTTGATCAGAGAGGATCACAAACGAGGAGTGTATGTAGAGGGTCTGTCTGAATGGGTTGTGCGGTCTCCTTCAGAAGTGTACAGCTTAATGGAGCAAGGTGCTCAACAGGTACAGCATGGCAGTATCATTCACTTTCTAAAATCTCGACCAGACGCATCTGCGCTTTGCTGGAAGCAGTAAGACTGGTCAAAACAACGCAATGACATTTTGCTGCATCATTCACTCCTCCCTGAGCGAATGTACCAACACAGCTTCCAAGATCCGTCATGTGCATGCTGAGTCGAACATTATGCAAAGTGTAACCGCTCCTAGTTGTGACAATATGCCAGGAGAAGCGAACCCTGTGTTGGGTTGTCTCTTTGTGTCAAGGACACAACGACACAATGGGATGCAAACAACTGTTTGAAGGTGATCCTGTTGCCTCCCAAGCACCAGGAGATGTTCCATTATGCTTGGAGGCCTGTTCCACCTTGTGCTGTTGGGCCCTTTTCCATATAGTGTGCCCCAAAATACCATCAGTGGGAGGAATTGAGTATGATAAACCAGGCAATGAACAGGGGAGTGTGCCTGTGCCAGAGTCCATTGCTGTTCATTTGTAATGGTGTTCATTTCATTTGCAGCGGGCTACTGGGACAACAAAGATGAATGAGATCAGCAGCAGGAGTCACGCCATCCTCATCATTATAGTTGAAAAATCGACATTGTTGCATCAGGAGAGTAACACAGAAGATGGCAAGATTGGTAGGCTGCTTCACTTTTGGGGAGTTGAACACACCACAGAAACAATAAAATTCCCATCTTGGCAAGTCCGCATTGTTGCACCAGTGCAATGTTAGTAAGTTTGTTTTGGCACAGCACATTCAGTGGATGGCTTGCTGTACAACAATGTTCAAGCTATGCAGTGGCATATGTTCTGTGCCCTGTGCGTCTCACAGTGTTGCCGCGTTGCTCTTTCACAACTTTCAGTTGGCAAGAAAGGAACCTTCCTGTGCTTAGTGTGACATTGGCTCAGCATTTATGAGGCTGAATAGCACATTGCACAGGAAAGTCCAGCGCCCCAAATTTGGACAGAATTCCAACTGCGCAGCAGGCCCAACACAGGAATCTGAACAGCACCAACGCACGGCTGCTGCTTGCCCTCTTAATTTCGGCTGGGTGATTGGGAACCCCAAGCCATGTGCATGCACCTGACTGCAAGGAGGGGGTGCTTATGTAGTGTTCCTCTGGCAGGTGGAGTTGGATGGCGCTCGCAAGATGAGACCAAAGAGGCACCACGACGTGTAAAAGTGGGCAAGCTTAACCTTGTGGACCTGGCTGGATCAGAGCGTGTACATGTGACAGGGGCGACGGGGAAAAGACTTGAAGAGAGCAAGAAAATAAACCAGTCACTGTCAGCCCTGGGTGAGGCAACCCAGAATGTCACGTGCTGGTGTTTGTGGCGTGGTTGCTCCCCATTTGGGTTTTTGTGTCTTCTTCCAAATCACAGGTAATGTTCTTTCTGCAAATCGAATCTTCATGTCAATACTGACTAGTTTGTGTTTCCCCAGGAAATGTCATTGCAGCGCTGACCGATCAACGACCAAGAGCACACATTCCTTATCGCGACTCCAAGGTGACACGCATTCTTGAGGACAGTGTTGGGGGCAACTGCCGCACAACCATGATTTGCCTGATTTCGCCTGCTCTCGAGTCGTTTGCGGAGTCGGTCTCCACACTGAAGTTTGCCAACAGGGCAAAGCGCATCAGGAATGAGGCCCATGTGAATGAGGACCTCGACCAGCGTACTCTGCTGAGAAAGTATGAGCGAGAGCTGAGACGTTTGAAGTCCGAATTGAAGCAACGTAGCAAGGATCTGGTGGATAAGAGAAAGCTGTTGGAGGTGTGGTGTCAACTTTCTTAGCATCGGTTTATCAACAGTTAATCAAAATTCCGATTACTTGGCACTTCAGGTGCCAAGGCAGTAGTGCCGGTAGTGCTGCAAAGCAAAGACAAATCAATGTGTCCAAAATCGGTATCTAGAAGCAAATACACCCCCCAACTAATGTCCTTCAGGTGAACGAATTTCCAGTGTATAATGATCCCACATTTGTCAGTTCTGATCTTGGAAGATGAGAACTCTTGCATCATTTTTCCTGTCAATTCTGCGCTTCTATTCCCCTGACTCACTTATAATTCACTTGCCTTGTAATTCACTTAAAATTTCGAATTTTCATTGCCATCGATTTGAAGGCAACGACTTGAAGGGGCACTGGCTGTTCATGCAAGCCAGTCGAGCTCCTTGGCCCTGCTCCCCAATACCAGACCAAGAATTTGTTGTGTAGCTAAACACCCAATGAACTGCACTCAAAAAGTTGTCTCTGGCAAGAGAGGAGGAAGAGCTCAACTGCATTGGGATCCTTATTCATTGACCTCAAAACCCTTGCCATGATGTCCAATCAAAAACGGAGCAATCCAGTGCCTGCTTGCATGGATGTAGTGCCACAGAACTTCACAACATTTCTATCAACCATTCACACCTGACAATGCACAATAGTGCACACATCTTCAAGTGCCAAAATTCAGCTGGATATGTAGTGCAGCATGTTTTGTTGGGAGAAGTAACACAAACAAAGTGGTTGGTGCAAGCGATGTCAGAATTTGCTAGTGAGAATGGATGGCAGTATAAATGCCGATGGATTTTATCTCAACCTGTCCTTTTATGCAGCTTCAATCATCACCTGGTCTGTGTAATATTGCATCATGCAAACTGCTTGATTTGCCCTGAATTTCATGTTGATAGTATTGTGAAGCCGAGCGGCACAATGAATGAGTTGAAATCTGCAAGCAGCAGGGTACAAAAGACTGTGTCGATCGTATTCAGACATGGCATGAACTACAGATGCATTAGCCCACAGCGACCGGGACACTACCCTCTCGACCAGTATTGTAAGAGCAGCAGGCAACCAGCACCACATTTATCAACTTTCGTTGATGGCTGGCGATGTTCAGAGCTTGGAAAGGATCAAGAAGATTTGTCTATTGGTATTCATGGCATTGCGCTTGGTGACGTTGCCTGAACAACCTTTTAGGTAGAGGAACAGAAGCGACGGGCAGAACGCGACAAACTGGCAGCGATCACAGCCCTGGAAAAGCGATCGCGGGAGTTTATGCGTGAGAAAACTGAAAAGCGGCGCCTGGAAACGAGAATTTCTGGCATGCAGTCCCAGCTCCTCTTCGGTGGGAAGAAACTGGAGGACTCCCCAGCGTTTCGAAACCTCCTTGCAAAAGAGCACAGGAGAATGAGGGGTGAGAAGACCGAGTCAGGATATCCATACACAGATTTTCATGTCAGAAACTCAAGAGACACACCATTCCTCCATACTGCAAGACATGTCTTAAGTTCATGTTCTTGTACTCAATGTACAGAAGTGTGGAGGCCTCATTTGTGAGTGTCTCTTTGACGAGCAGGTGAATATGAGGGAAGGCTCCGTGAACTGGAGCGAGAGCGACAGAGTGTGGAACAGGACAGGGCTCAAGTGGACCATTACAAGAGCCTACTCCTGAAGCAAAGGGACATCATGATAGCGCTGACTGCACGGCTGAATGAACGGGATGAGCAGCTCCTTGCTCTACAGGTGAGTGCAAAAGAAGTTTGAGCGGCCAAATCCAGGAGGCCCCGGCCCCAGAGATGGAACTGGGCTGGGCTGTATGCCCCACTCATTGTTGGGTACCATTTACAACTTCAACCGCTACACTTCGGTTGTGTGCTCTAGTGTCCAGTGGTGTCGTTTACCACGTTATTGTGCGGATGCACAACCTGCCATGGCAGCCAATGGTGGTGCAGATGCCTGTCATGATGGGTGGAGCTCTTTGGAAATGACGTAAGCAGAATTGGCCAGAAGCGAAGTGCTGGAACTCGTTGAATCATAGGCGCCCTGTTGGAACAGATCCCAAAATTTCTATTGGGCACTATTCAAGGGGAACGAGGTTGTGTTTCTGCTGCTGTCGTTAACAGGAGGAACTTGACGCTGTAGAGAAACACCAGCGACAACTAGAGGATGTGCTGGACCACAAAACATCGGAATTGATTCATTTGAGGAAGGCTGCGGTAGAACACACCACCACCAGCACAACTAAGGATACTGCACTGGGGAGTGCACTGGGCGAATGGAAGCAAGTGGACGAATTCAGGTGTAGTATCCATGGGACAGGATGTAACAGCCAACTAGCCCCACAAGCAGAATATTGAGTTGGTTGTGAATAAAAACTCAAATTTCCTTCGCAACGTTGTCACTGCTGCACTGTTGCGCAGGCAATGCATATCCAATGCATTGGAGCACGATGCTGCTGTCATCAGCTCCCAGTTGTTTGTTGACGGCGATGGCTATTCCCACGTTGGCGAAGCATTCCACCTTGGCTATTTGGTGTGCTGGTGTTCTTGCTTTTGTGTGTACCACACCCCTGTCCCTGTACCATGCAATGGTGCAAGCACAGGCGGAAACAGGACGGCTTGAGCAGCTCTCAGTGTCTGTGGGGCCTGCCTGTTGCTGCAAAACTGCTATTAACTTACAGCGACGTAATTGGTATAGGTGAAGGTGTAGAAAAGAAAATGAAAGTGTGACAATGCTGGTGATTGTGTTGACAGAGAGAGCCTCGGCCGCAATGGCTATCTTGAAAACATTGACAATGATCAAAACTCCTCACCTTCACGTGATGGGCAGGTGAGTGCTATTGTAACTACATCTTTTTTTGAGAAGCAAACTACGGTTGGCACATCATTCACTGTTAATTCATGCATAACCGATTCATTGCCCCGCCTCTACATCGTTTATGATCCATTGCGCCCCACCAAAATCAGTCCTGGGTGGAAATGAAGCATGTTGTCCCTTGGGCTCCTCACACCCACAAGCTTTTGTGCCATTGTGCCCTTTAGCCTAGCATGGTGAATCAGCTCGAGGATCGAGTTGCTTCTCTGAAGCAGCAGCATGAGCATCTCCGGAAGGACGTTGAGGCCCGGCTCGAAGAGAAGAACCACTTAATTGAGAGCACCAGGCAAGAGAATCGACAGCTCAGGGAGTTGCTCAGTGAGTGCAGTCAGCCCTTCCACTTTTTCTGCCGTGACCAATTCGCTCTCGAGATTCGCGCCTGAAGCGCTGTGGTGTTTCAGGCCGTTCAAGTGGCAGCCCAACGTCCTTTGACCCCATCTCGGCCAGGGAAGTCCAGTCGCTCAGAGAGCAATGCAACATTCGGAAAAAGGAGAGAGAAGCTTTGAAGACGATTCTAAACTCGAAAATGAAGCGCATGGTGGATGATGTGGCGTGCACCATAAAGGACTATGGACATCAGGTGCGCATCGCATGCACACGCTGGGCAAGCCCAGACCACAGCACCTGACTACCAGTGACCTCGATCCCCGCATACCAGACTGCTCGCCGTAAATGGATACTGATGCATCACATCACTGCTCGGCTGAAGATTCGTACCCTCTGCATTTGGGCCTGCAGGAGACTCTTTCTGCTACACGCTGGGTGCATATGTTGCTGGCTGCGCCCTGCTTTGTTCTTGGATTCTACTTCCTCTGTTTGGAATGAATTGTCCTCTATGAGCTTGGTGCCGTACCTCCCCATCGTGGAAGCTTTGGTTTTCATTGAAACTTCTTCCAAAGCTGTGGCTATGAGTTTGGAGTATGGTCAAAAATCCAAGTCAATTCGTTAAGTATTGAGGATTGGCAGTCCATTGTAGCAAGCACCTTCTACGAAGTACATCTTGAATATTTGATCAAAGATGACCAAAAATCACCTTTGGCCCAACGCTCACAGGAGTTGTGTCTGCTTCTTGAAAATTGGTAGGTGTGGGTTTTCGGACCCAAACTTTCCGATTTTGAGCTCCTGTTGTGATTTTGAGAACATTATTGTAATGAAATTTGTCCCTCAAACAGAGGACAATTAATTCCGCACAGAGGAAGTACTTGCCTGGACAAGGTGGAGCAGGCCCCACCACCCTGTAAGTGAAGTCAGCATGCGCACAGGCAAAATCTTGTTCCTCGCTCAATCCTCTAGTCACCATGCGTCTGAAACACGCCAAAGCAGTCTCTTGAGGAACGAAGGCCGCGTTTACCACCGTGCCACATGACGGGCTCATTGTCTTTCCAAGTACCAAAAGGTGGATCTAAACTGGTCAAAGCCACACAGGCGAGGCCCAAACCACTTGTGGTATCACGCGTCTCAGCCAAGAAAACCCTGCACGAAATACTTCTAGAAAGCAGGGTCCAAGACTGGCGTGAGATGATTTTTGCAAGAGTTGTTCTCCTAGTTCGTCTGGTTCGGATTGACACGTGCTTTGGCACCTGATGTGCTGCAGTCCCAACTCCCAACCTAGTACATGTGTCAACGCCTCGAATGTGCCGACGTCATGAATGCGGGTCTGGCATTGAGCCCCACAGAACTCGTCGCGTCAAAAGATCAGTGGCAGACTGACTTAACTGGCATTTCCACCTTACCAGTCTCTTGAACCCACGCCCCGCATGACAAGCCATTTAAAAAACTCTGTGAAAGAATGTCCGTCACCATTCGTCCCAAATACCCGAGGTCCCCATACTTCACAGTTTGCCCTTTCGGTTCACACATACTTCTCACCACTTTTCTCCTGTGACTCAGTCCTGAGTCAGCCCCACAATCCAGTACTTTCTTCCACACCTTCCCTCTACCTCAACTCAGCCTAACACCACTTTCTAGGGCGGGAGAACCGGGTGCGAAACAAGATAGGAGGGGGACTGAGGGGTGAGCCCAAGTAGACGCCCCCTCTCAGCCCTGCCAAAGCCCGCCAAATCCAAGGACGCCAAATTGACAGCACCTTGGAATCTACGCACTCTGACTGACCCAAGGTACTGGAGGGGCCAGAAATCAGTTGGAATCAAACTACTACTGATTTGAATCATCGGCGCAGCCCACCCAACGTCGTCCTTGATGGAAACCTATTACCAAGATAGTTAATTTCATGTATGTGTGCTGCTACATAGATTTTGACATTGTGGCATGCAGGAACAAGCCCACTCTCGACTCATGGCACAAGTGCAAGCTCTAGGTCAGCTCCTAAATGCAACCGTTGGGGCGTTGGGCCTCTCCGATCGAGACGTAGCCAGTAGACAGTGAATCGTTGCGACTTGCCTCGACATTTGTGCACGTTTCGTCGAGAACGATAGTGGAGTTTGCAGCAAAGAGCCGCCTGCCAAGCATTCGCCATTGGGGAGTGGCCAGCACGACAACAACTGAAAATGTTGGCTCACAGGAAGAAACGCATCTGCGAGCTCTAGGGTGGTGGTTTCCTACATCGTCGATGGTGCATGTTGATGATTACATCCTCTGCGTGAAGCCACAAACACGCCAGTTGATGAAGCAAAGACCATTCTATCATCATCGCAACAGTTTCAGCTTCCCAGATATGACCACGACTGTTGACGCTCACTGTGGCAGCTGCAAAAGGGTAAAGTTTGAACGGCAGCGGGAGGAGAGTAATGTTCTGTCCTTTACCTGTGATGTACACTTTGTGTCCTCATGACGGAATGGCAAGGGTGGGCTTGCTTTGCGAGAAGCCGTGTGTTGGACCCCTGAAAGATGGATGGTTTTTATTTTATTTCTATTTTTCTTGCGTCGTTTGCAAGTACAGCAGTCAGTCAGGAATGGCGCTCTGACAACATTGCCCTTGACCTTCGCTTCATGTCTATGGATTGCTTGCTTGCCAACGTCCAGCTTGTCGAGTTGAGACAACCAAATCCGCATCTTGGTCGCGTACGTCCTCAGCGGGCGATGTTCACAACGGTGAAGGTGAAGCAAGATTTCACTGCAGGCGATGTTACAAAACCGAGCGCTGAACGGCTCGTGCTTACATTCCATGTGAAGCACCATCAACTGAAGTCATTTTCCGCACATTTTGCTCATCAGTGCATTTGGGAACACAAAAAATTTGCATCCTAGAGCCAATCCATGGACATACTTGATCTGAATCCGTCCGTTTGCAGGACTGCCGGCTGCTGTCTGCTTGAGGACATGCCGCCAATGATCTTTGTTTCTTGAACACTGGGAAGACAGCCGCCATCCCTGACGCTACATTATACTATACATTGCTCTGAGGAGCCCCGCGGACATGCCGTCCCTGTCCGCAATGGTGCCATGTCTACTCCCTATTTTTTCTTGCGACGCTCAAAGAAGCAACCGAAGCCACACAGCTTGAACGCCCTGGAAAGCATCGCAAGCAATGCATCAACATGCTGGACTGTGTCACCGAATCAGCGTTCTGTCTCGCTCGCCTAATTCAAATGTCACTCTGCTTCAGCGCTGGTTCCGTCTCAGGACATGTCGTGATACTGTCCGCTGGAAGGCTGCGTGCACTTGAATTGCAGCAAACATGCGTCCACTAACACGGCAAACGAATGGCACTTGATGCAAAGCACATCCCCGGTGCAAGCGGCATGCACATGCGTGCTGAGGATACTGAAACTTATCTCTTGCTCTGCTGCATTTGACCAGCACCAGTATGGACAGAGTCCAAACCGCAGCAATCGTCAGGCGGCATTTAGCGCACAGTGCTTTGCTGACACATGTGCGCAGCTGTGAAGGACCAAGTTCAAACAACCAGTGGGCAGGATATCTATCCTCTGTTCCAGCCGTAGTTCATGCGCCGCGCTCTTCCCAGCAAAGGAATCCGTGCATTACTTTCACCATTGGCTTTGATCCTGTAGAGCTGTGACTCAGTTGCCAGGTGTAACTCAATCGCCAGCAGTAGCGATGCACCCGAAGATTTCCAATCACTGATAATATAAGATGCCAAGGGCAAACGCTGGCCACGGAAATAATGTTACTGCCTGCACCAAATCGGTGACTGCTTGCACCAAATCACATGTACACTATGTCCTAACCTCAGTTTTAGGGATAGGTTTAGTTTTAGGGTGAGTTTTAGGGCTAGGCTTGGGTTAGGGTAGGGTTAGGGTTAGGTTTTAAGTACAGGATTTAGGTTAGGCTCGTTTTAGGGGGTTTGGCGCAAGCAGACACCGATTTAGTACAGAAAGTCACCGATTTGGTGCAACCAGTAATTGTATGCCCTGGCCATCTTCACATGTGGCATGGTTAACTCATCCATTGGAGATGTGCGTATTTCTGGCAATGCGCCACCACTGTCGAAAAAGTCGGCCACAGTCAGAGCAATAACCAGCCGACCAAATCCAACTACCCAGGGACCAGACGGATTGGCAGTGCCTGCGATGTCAGGCTTGTACGCTCAACGATACTTACCCAACCATGCTCTGGGTACCATCGAACGACTGAGTGAGAATGTTCGCCTGTTCCCTTGTAAGCATTTGCTCTCCCCGTGGGCTAACCTGACGTCGGTCGCCAAAATGAAGCATGTCAAGACGTGGAGGGGTGGCCAGTGTTATCAACACTGCTAGCGCAGAGAGGGTAGGGACTGAAAGCAGCTTGCTTCCCCCGTGCCATGCAGGGAAGTCAAGGGCTAGCACTGCGGCGATTTTGCAACACTTGCACGCATCGCACACACGACTGTTTGAGGCCGCACAGTTCTGACAGCAGCTGCTTCTACGGCAGAATGCAAGCATGCATGCAGAAACAAATACAATCGCAAAAGATGCGTCTGCACGTACCAGTCTGAAGGGGTTCACCTGCTCCTTCCCATTGAAAGGAGGCGGCATCATTCCTGCCTCGCTGCCCTGGAGAACAGAATGCCAGGGGAGTCAAATCGTGCTTGTGGAGGCGCGCATAGCCACAGTGACCATTCAGCATGTCCGTGCAGGCGGAGCAACTGCCGTCAGCGCAATTCCATACAGAGTCTGCCAACTGACAGGATTGTCACTGAAAGCCTGCTAGCAAGGGTCCATCACGTCGTTTGCCCACCTCTGGAATGGTGCCACTGCTCATGGGGTCCTGCGCACAGCAGCAACAATGCACCGTGTCAACAGCAACAAATACAGTACACAGAGGTTGACCTGCTGCTGGGCAGGAAGACGTGCTGGCATCCTGGCGTTCGCCAGCAACTTAATTGTATCAAAAGATCGGTGAGCCCACAAACGAATCTGTCAAAAGCCAGAATTTCACCCTCCAGGCTTCGACATGTGCACTTCAGTTTGAAACAGCAGCAGAGGTGCACAGGCAAAATACCTGACTGGGAATCATCCTTGCGTCTTGCACAGATGGTGTCCCAATACAAGAAGGTTCTTTTTCCTCCTACAACAAACATACAACAAAAGCTCTCAGTAGCCAGTCTGCCAATAAAACCAACAACACATACAAATTCTAAACCAGAAATTCACACTACAAATTCTAAACTTGCGCACAGTGAGGCATGGTACAAGCATTTCAAAGACAAGCAAAAGCATCAACTTTCAGACCATTTGGCTGTATCCCGGCACCAATTGGACCAAGTCCATTGATTTCAGCATGACTATGGACAAGCAACAAACAGCTTGCAAAGGACATGAAGTCATAGCAAGAGTCGCTTGTGGACCCCTAGAACTCCAAGCTGTCATGTGACGTGCTTTTCAGTAGTTCGGCAGCTTAACAGTGAGACTTTGCCTACCAACTTGTGCATTACCGGAATGCTGTTGCTGCAGTCGCTGCATCGTGTCTCGTTCACCCTGAATCCTGCATCTCTGAGTATTGACTGCATAAAACAGTGCCCAGTGTCAGTTCCAGTACCAGCCAGCTCAGAACTCATTCTTGTGGGAATCAGGAGTCTTCCAGACAATCCGGCCTTCCTCTCAGTCCACAATATTCAGCATGAGCGAAGCATGAATTCCACCAACTGGTTTCAGGTAGCTGTCACACTGAATGGTACCCACCGGAACAAGTCCAGCATGTGCTCTGGAGCGCTTCTGGCCGCCTTCAGGGAACTGACACCAACGCACACAGCACTGTTTCAGACACCAGCAAACAAACCTACCACCAGCAAATACCTGCATCAGTGCCAAGCTTGAGAGGGTCATAAGCCACAAAGCATATGGCTGTAGCCAACTTTATGCAAGTCCTGGGAACCTTTGTTTGTGGGGCGCATGGTTGCAACTGTGCACAGTGCCAGCTGGGAAGGCCAATTGCGCACTTGACCACATCATATCGACCAAGGCAGCAGCAAACAGCAGCCATTGAAACAGCATCAAATAACCCAAAACAGCTTCTGCCAAAGAATTCGATGCCGAGCAGCGTACAGAACGATTGATATGCTTCGTGTGTGCCACAAACTCATTCTTGCCAGGTAGCGTGTCTCCAACTTCAGCTTTTAGGGTCAACGCGTTCTTTATTGGGTGTATTGATTCAAGACCAGGAAAATCTGCCACTGAAACTGCAGGCATGTTGCCAGCATGCCACGCGTGCACAACAAAGCGTCACAGCATCCCCATAAACAGCATTTGGCTTGGCCAACAGGCATCTTGGCCATGCATTTGTGGACAAGTTGTGGCATTCACTCAACCGTCAAGCTGCTTTGTTCATGTGCCTCACATAGCATCCAGCAGTCGTGTCTGGCACTTCTGTTTCAAGGATGTTTGGTTTGCATACTAATGTGCAATTTGGAGCTGCAAAATTACGCACAAATACTTCTGTCCTCTGTGGCACTGCTATTTGGCTATGTTCCCTCTGGCAGTCCTAGCCCCCATGGTCAGCAAGCTTCTTCCATTGCCCAGATATGCTTCTCTGGCAATGCAATGTGTTGATTATAGTGTTACGAATCCTGTCAATTTGATCGCACCACATGGGCTTGTCTTGAAACGTCACAATGTTGCAAATCTCTCACCCTCAACAATTCAGTGGACAGATCACCAAGAAGGTTATGGACAAACAAAGCTGAGTTATTTGTCACACAGTTACTCACATTTTAGCTGTGAGGGATCTGCAGCTGATTATGTCAAGCAAGGAGCACATTTCACAGGAAGTCTCAAAACACCCACCTGTGCCTGCAGCACTTTCAATCCCTCAAGTACCGCAGACATTGATGGCCTTTGGGTAGGTCTTGGGGAAATGCATTTCCTCATGAGGGTCAACAGAAACGCTGGGCAGTCACTGGGCACCTTGCAGGGGTCGACACCTCTACGCTTCTGGCCCAGCAGCAAATCGTGCGAAGAAATCCCTTCATATGGCAGGCACTGCGCCAGCACCTCAAACATCACCACGCCCAGGCTGAAGACGTCGCTTCTGAAGTTGGGCATCTTCCCCTTGCACACTTCAGGAGCCGCCCACACAGAGGCAGCAAGCTGTGGCCTCCCTGTTCTGGATCTCGTTTCTGTCTTGACTGTCGCCAACCCAAAGTCAGCAATCTTCACGATGAAACCCCCAGTGACTTGATCGAACACAAGGAAGTTTAGACTCTTGATGTCGCGATGGACGATGCCCTGGTCGTGGACAAACTTCACTCCCCGTGCAGCCTCCAACAGGATCTTGGCCTTTGTGGCCCATTCCAAGTTGGCATGCTGTGCGTACATCTCATGCAGATTGTACTTTGCCAATTCCATAACCATGAGGCCTTCTTTGCTCACAGCATATATGCGCACGATATGGGGATAGGACATCGACCTCTGAATCTCAACTTCAGTGTAGAATGAGGCCAATGCCTCCTGGCTGAATTGGCCATACGCGAATTTCTTGACTGCAACGTCGATGTTCCGCCATCGACCCCTGTGAACAGTACTGCTGTTGCTGCTGCCAATTGGCTCCACAAGGTCCACCTTGTCTCTGCCCTCATTTGTGATGATTGGCAAACTGGTCACACGGGCATCATGCTCAGCCTTCACCTGTTTCCACTCTGCTTGAGCGCTGCCATTCGGGTCGACGTTCGCTGACTTGAGAGCAGACTGTGCACCCTCCATGACATAAGACAGGTAGTGATACAGGTATGACCTGTCTGTGCTGACCAGCTTCGCATCCAGCTCTGTGCGAATCGTTTCCATCTCCTGTGACAGGTAGCCCTTCTCTGTGAGCACTTCTGCAGCCATTCGCAGCCCATTACAGATCTCTTCCACTTTGCTTTTCACCTCAGAGGTCCTGTAGAAGTCCTTGAGGTCCAATCTTCCAGCATGCCTTCTGATCAATGTCCTGCCGCTCTTCAATGTATCCTCCACACACTTCCACATCTGCAACGTCTCTGACATTGGAGATCCACTCTCCATCACATGCAGACCTTCAAACTTTTCCATTTCAAGGAACAGGAACTCCAGCATCTTGACATGATATCTTGCATTCGGGAGTTCTTCCCTGGCGATGCCCACTATCGTATCAATCCTCTCTACAAAAGGAGACATGGCTGTACGGCACAACTGCCTGCAGAAAATAGGAGACATTTCTATCATGACAGAAACAAATATCTCAGATGGGTGCACGTCTGCAGTACCGTCCCAGAAATGGACTGAACAAACTGCACCAAAACAATAAGTGAAGTGGTTTCAGTTGCCTGCAGCGCATGTTGTGATCAGTATGGTGCGGAATTGCCCTTCTCATTGACTGCTGCACTATTTGGTCGGAGCTTCCGAACAATTGACTTGGGGCACAAAAGCTGCCCAGAGCGAATGCCACACGGCTGGCATTATGACAGTACTTTATGTTCCACCACAAAGTACTGATGACCTGACCCTGCTTTGTTCCCAATGCACCCAAATCTGGACAGCAGCATAGGCTGCCAATGCACACTGGCGGTATGGCCACCCCACACCAAGTAGGTGGACTTGAATGGATCGCCTCATAGGCCGCCAAGCAGCTGCTTGGCAAGAATTTGCTCCTGCATGCACACTCGCTCTCCGCGCGTCGGACAGCATGTGCAGCTACCAGCTGCGCACCCGAACATGGAGCGTCCAGCCATTGCCGATCAGCACCAAGGCACACATTTTCCCATGCCGCCTTACAGTGTTCCTTCCGCCCGGCTTCCTGAACCCTTCTTCCCCGGCTGCCAGGGGCGACGTGCCCCTGGCCGGCCGCCCAAAAGCGCCGCAGGCCCGGTTCCCATCCCGGGCGCCATCCCCCACAGACCACTCCCGGCCCCTCAACGCCTGCAGTCTCTGGATCATGCCTCCCTGCGCCAGCTCTTGATGACTGCAAGCCCTCCGTCAACATCCGGGCGCGGCCATGTACGACGCGGGCGTCCGCACCGGCAGGCTCCCCCCACCTTGTGCCTCCCAGGACGCCGGCAAAACGGCAACCAACGGCAAGCACGGCATTTGGGTGAGAACTCGCGTGCGAATGCGATCAGAGATTGGGCAGCCCCGCGTCCCAGCAGCATCGACGCCGCGGCCCCAACGCTTCCGACCGCACCTCCCCCGCTCCAGCAGCGGAAGGTGGCGGGCACGCGAAACATGGCTTCTCCAACCGTCCGGCGAAGGCCAAAACCGCGCGCTTGAGACGATGGATATTCGCACATAAAGGTGTCAGCGCATATCCCCCCCGCGCGAGCTTGCCCCACAGCGAATTCAAATCGACGCGCGTCCGCAATCCGCCAAGCGCCCAATCCCTTCCCTGCGCGTCCCCCCCGCCGACTCGGCTTCAGACCGTCACAATGCCATTCGCAACCCACGTCGACGCACCGCGCGCAGTTCGCCGCCCCCCGCGGGGTCTGCGATCCGGAAACCCGGGATGGTGCCTCCGAGCAGCGGCCACAGAAGCCCTCCGGAATTTTCGCAAGGCGGCGGGGCCGTTCCGGCGCCCTCCTGCGCGTCCGCCTCCCCCGCTTGGCCGCTTGCGCTTTGCCCACGTGCGGGCGCGGCACGCATGGAACCCACAGAAGCGCTGGTGCGTGGCGCAAGGGACGGGGGCCTGCACCCCTGGATCACGTTGCCCCTCCGTGGTACCGGACGGCCTGCTCTATTGTCGTATCGATGTGACGCCGAGGTAGGGTGGCCCCTGTGGCTGCGGTTGGCGGAGGCGGGCGCCCGCGAGATCCGCCGGCCGGATGTGTACAATATGGGCTCACGCCAAGATCCGTCATCGTGCTCGCGGATGTCAGCGTCAACGTACGGCGGGCGGACCCGAGTGTCGGGAACACCACCGGCTGACACGCGCAACAGCAATGAAACTGAACCACGCCGTTCGAGGAATCTGCTGTTTGAGGGCGCGTTCCAAAGGGCGCACGGCAGGGGGCCAGGCACTGCCCTGGGGCGATTTTTTAAAGGAGAATCTTTGGAAAGCGTCGTTTTTGAGGGCCAGGAGCACAGAGCGCTTGGATCGGGGGAGGAATCCGGCGATCGGACATGAAACTGAGTCGGCCATGAATCAAGCTTCCCGGGGCCGCAATGACATGGTTATCTCATGCGATTCATCGGCATATCCACCCCTTGGGTCCGTCGACGTCCTTTTCTACGTGCTTCTTTCTGTCACACATGTCACACATCACATTCCCATCGCCGCCTCGGGGTGAGAATAAATCAGATGCACGTCGTGCACTCGAATCGAGTTGCTCTCCAGAGCAGCCTTGATGCATTGGCACAAGGAAGCCTGAAGGTGGTCCAACTTTTGCTCCGCCCCTAGCAGCGGGAAGACCATCAACGTTGATACAGTGGCTGCTGGGCAACAATCGATTCACCTGATAATATGTCACACAATATCATGACATGTTTCAACATTGAGTTCGATGCAGTTGGAGATGCCGCTGAGCACTTGGCAGTGTCAATTGGCATTGAATCAAGGCTGCGGGAGTCTTCGATACAGATGAATATTTGTGAGGGATCCACGATGCCCTATTGGTGGGACTTGTGATGGCTCCGACAGGGACCTCGCCTTAAACAGCAGCTGTTTAGGAACTGCGTACTGTGTTGTGTTTAAATGGACATATAAACAGATCCATTTGACTGCATACTCCATCAGCCCATGGTTCCAAGAATGCCTACAATCGGGTCTCTGCTGGCCGGGACATCCCATCCACGAGCTTGGCAACTCTTCTCAGGCCACGGCTTGCAAGTTTGTTGCTGTAGTCTATGTGAAGGACGCTGGCGTAGTCCTGGGCACTGCCATTGAAATTCTCCATCTCTTCCTGGGATTTCGCCCTACCCAACAGCGCTCTAACTCTGCGGTGGCGACAATCGGTGCTGGCGAGCGACATTGTGTAATCTGAGATGGCCCTCCGACAAATTCCCATCTGCTCGAAGCAAGCCGCACGATCACAGAGGATGTCCGCAATGAGCTCCCTGTCCCCGTCGCCGACACCATTACACAGCGCCAGCGCCTGTGTGTACAGCTTTGCCGCTTCCTGTGCCTGGCCGACAACCATCCCCTTGTGTGCGCTGCGGATCAAGCCGTGCATGACATCCCTGCGGTCCATCCCGCCAACATCACCGGTGCCTTGAAGGCCGTTTGATTGGCGAGAACGGCCGTCAGGAGTTTCACATGTCTCCCTGCAGCAAATCGATCCTAACTTGCCTTCAGTCTGGCCAAGAACTGCATCCTGGTCTGCAGGCGCACTCCCTTGCAGATCCTCTATATACCTCCCACCGAGGTAAGCCTGAACTACGCTCCTCCCAGGCTCTGAAGGCCGTACAAGCAAGGCCTCCTGATGACTTCCAAGTGTTCTCTGAGGGGTTGGTCCCCTCAGAACGTTCCACACAAGTTTCGTGTCCAGTTTTTTCAGTCTGACTCTCGCCCTCCGCGGCTTCACTGAGAAACTTGACTCGCCTGGCACGATGGGAGCAAAGAGCGGAACAATCGAAAGGGTGGCGACAGGAGCAGAACGTCCATTCGATTCCACCATCCTCAAGCTGAAGCCTTGCTCCCAGATGCTGCAGTCGACCGCGGGACTATCGGAATTAGACGGAATACATACCTCGACGAAGGTAGACCTGTCTGCCCATGAATAGTCGCTGATGATCGTGCACGGTCTGCGGGCGCTCACGGCTTTGGCGCGGCTCAGCAGCTTCGGCTGCGCGTCGTCACCCTGTCTGCCCACCGTGCCATTGGCGGCGCCACTGGACAGGGTGTCTTGCACGAGGTCGATGGCTCCCTGCGTCATGTGGTTGCCCACGAAGTTGCTCGTTGGCCCAAGGTCCAGCCGTTCGTAGCCTGGTCCCGGCTCGCCCCAATTTTCTCGTGAACACTTCCCCTCATGCCGCACAACCTGGAGGCTCCGCGAAACGGGAGGAGAGGGCAGCAATGGGCACACTAAAAACGTCTGCAGTCCTTCATTTGTCATTTCAGTATTGAGGGGATTGTAATTCCGCAATTTCCGGGCGATTTCCCTCTCCGACTGGGCAAAAGCCAACAGGTCTGCATTTCGATCCAGTACTAGAGTGACGTCTATTGCGAGGGGGCTCAGCCTTGCCGGTTTCGGTGTAGCTCTCCCTCTTCTCTGCGCGCTCATTTCCACCCTTTTCCATTGGGAAGCAGGGCCACAGTGGGCGTGCCCTGTTCAGCTGCCGTACGTTGGACAGTACCTGCCGCCGCTGTTGACTGGCGTACGAGTGGGGTTCAGAGAACCTGCCTCCGTAGCTACTACGGAGGTAGCTTCTTTGGAGCCCCATTCGCACGTCAATGCACAGTGTGCATTGCACAGGAGGAGGAGCGCATGTGTGCGCAGTCAGTGAGGAGCGACGACTCTGTCTTGTCGGTCACACTGGCATGTGAACGTGGCACTTGACTGTTGCTTGTCATGACGGTCAAATTGACGACACCATCTCGCCAATCGACTCAATGAAAACAAACTTCCACCGAATACATATGTCATCCGCATTCTCCGCGGGCAGTGCAGTGCTTCAGAGACACGCGCCAGGAGATAAGCAGCCAGAGCTGCGGCTGACGCAATAGCGGCCACAGAAATACCGTCAAGGGCACCTAGAGTCGCTGAGGGTCCGCGACTCGCCACACCTTCCTGTAGGGGCCTCCGTGGGGTTCCTTCACCCAGATCTGGCGATAGTGGTGCCTCTCGGCGTCAGCCTTCCGCTGTTGCAGGAGGCCCACTCGTCTGTTCAGGTCCCAGCACCCTCCGGCGTTGAGAAGCTGGAGAGCCTGGCTCTGTGGGCCTGGGACCGCGGCTGACCCAGCCGGAACCATGGCCGTTCGTTCGGCCTCATCTGGCATTTGCGTTGGTCAGCGTCGCTCGCTGTGCATGAAGGTAGGGCGGAAGAGCCCGAAGGCTTGGCAACGGAGAATGTTTCGGGCGGGCGTGGGCCGCCTGACAATTCGAGAGACGTGGACGAGGTCGAGAGACGTGGGTCACATTGCTGCATATCAATCGGTAGGAATTTGCATCCCTCAGGAAAGTCCGCAATGCTTCATGCCGCTTCGGCGCTCGTTGTCAGCAACTCGTCGACATTGGGTGTTCCAACAAACCATCCGGAATAACGCACCCAGCTGTGTTTTGATGTGTGGCGCGTGGTGCAAACCTTGCCCCGTCCACATCACACACATAATGTAGCTGCGCCACTTTTCCACTGCTTCAGGACGCCATGGGCTGTTGATGCTCTGTTGTGCAATGGCATTCCTGTTGATTTGTCGGTTGACGCAGCAATGGAACCATCGCTGCAAATGGCACCGAGCTCTTCGCTGTGTGTGCTCCTCGGCGAGAACAATACAAACTGCTGGGCAATCTGGAAGACTGAGTGCCACCAGCAAGCCACCAGCCCCTATGGCATTATCTGCTGTGAGTCAGTGCTGACTCCCAGGAGCATCGGAACTCCAGGCCCATTCGCGTTCAAATGACATCACTGCATTAACATCCAATTAGTCGTGTTAAAATCAGCGTCGCTTCATTAAGCGGTGTCGCCACGCATCATCTATCTTTACAAAAGGACAATTTTCTATCGCAGCGTCGCCTCGCCAGGCTCTCGCCCCGCTACAGCTCTGCAGTTTTGCGCGTCAATTCATCACAGATGTCGGTTGCCTATCCCGCGTGGCGCCCATTGCATGAACCTGAGACGTGCTCGCGCACGGCCTATTCATCCCACAAATCCTGCGGCGTTCTGTAAGGCCCCTCCGCTTGTAGCCACCAGACTCCGTCCAGCATTCTCGTTTGCTTCAGGTCGCTCAGTCGCCCAAAATCCGCATCGGAGAGACTCCATCCGAGGACATCCAAGTTCTCCTGGTGGCGATGGGGCACAAAACTGCATTTCGATTTCCTAGCAGGGGATGGCCATATGGACTCGCACTGCTTCCTGTCCCCGCCGGTGAAGCGACGCCGCGAACGAGAACTGCAAGTTCCATCGCGTGACAGCGAGCTCCGTGCAACCCCGTCGCTTTGTTTAGTCGCACACTCTTAGGCCGAGGCTTTGGACTCGAAACTAACATTTTACTCTGAGTGCACAGCGACCAGGGAGGCCACACTGCAATGGTGCGTCTGCTGACACTTGAGACATCTGCTTCATGGACGCGTGTGGCTATCGCGCTCGATTGGTCCGGGGGATTGTCCGACACCTATCACTACCTGATATGAGGGTCATGAAGGGGTCGTGAAGGTGATTAAGGGTGCCACGGACCCAGAAACCTAAAATCTAAGCGTCCTAAACCTGGAACATGACCTCCACGACCTTCACGACCGTCATGACTTCACACCTTCATGAGATTGATCACCTTCAGGACTTCATGTCCGGAGATGAAGGGCATCGGACATGTGCGTTTCTCAAGCAGAATAAAAGTGGCCCGCGCACGCTATTGAAACTACGGCAACCGATTCCCCCTGTCTCCCAGCTGCCGTTTCAGAGTTTGCAGCACCGCGGTTAAGCGCAAACTGGCGATGTGCAGGATCTTTCCAAAGTAACATCAAAATCAGCGGAGGGCCGTTTACTCGGGGCGTGGTACCCACCTTGATTCGATGCGCATTGCTACTCTTGGGCAGGATACTTGTGCCTCGCTGCAAACCCCACCGAAGCATGACCTGCAGAGAATTGCCATGCAAGAACACCAAAGGTTTGGAAGTACGATATATGGTAGCGAGCGCACAGTGCCCGTGACAGCTGGGATGCTATCCGCCAAAACACAATTACAGCTTCCAAGGGCTGCAGCCGAGGCAAATCGGCACATCACAGTTGCGTCGGCCGGAAGCACGTGGATGTCCAGGATGCCATTGTCCAGCACAACTGAGCATCGGAGCGGTTCGCTGCAACAACAACTAAATCTGCAGGCCGTCTGGTGCTGTATCGGGGCGGGACATTTCCACCTCATGGCAGTATCCCATACTTGTGTCACAACTTTCGAAACGTTCACGCACTTGGGCGGCGCTCTTTTGCATCTTGTCCGCAATGGCGTTGACGGTGTGGTCTTTGAGAGGCGACGGCAATTCTCTACCGACGATGGTGGAGGTGTCCGGTGCGCCGCCCAGAGGCGAATATGCAGTGACGTGAATGCGGTGTCCCTTGCAGAACTCTATGAGCGCGTCATTTCGGAAGTACGGATGAATCTCCACCTGGCACAATCGACAAACAAGTCTCACAAATAGGCAACAAGCTCCTCCGTGGGCCCTGTCAGACTCGATCAGATACACGCCTCCGTGTGCTGAGCGGTAGGTCACCACTCAGTTTGTGTCGCGGCCCGCAAGTTTAGAGATTTCTGCTCAGAACTGCTCGTGAGCAGAGAATTTCATCCTTCCAGCCAACGGAAGTCAGCACCAGTTTCAGAATTGGATACATCCTGGATCCTGTCAATGCACGCCACGTGAACAAAGACAGCTGCACTGCAGGAAACAAGTTTCGCGCCACAAAATTCAGCAAGGGCAAAGTCATGGTCCATGACTCATGGAAAAGGTGTGCACGAACTCGCTGCCAATGCCTGACAGCAAAAGCCGTCCCGAAATTGGCCACAATATTATCAACACGTTTTTTTCATCAATCAAGCCGCTGGAATCGGCAACTTCAAGCACTCAAACAGATTTTCGCAAGATTGTTTCAGCGGCGTTACCACCGGCGCACGTGTTTGTTGCTGCCCAACGGTCTCGCCCTATCTCGTCACGCCGATACATGGAAGACATGGCTGAATTCTCAACACTCCATCCACGCGGTCCCTGGATGCAGTGGCGTGCTGTGGTCACGTAAACTCGCAACTCCAGGAGGTTCGATCCTTAATACCTGGCAAACTGAAGGCTTGATACGAGCATACCCTAGCACATCCGCCAGCTTCTTTGCAGAAAAATTGCTGACCCCGATTGCCCTCACCAGCCCTCTGTCTACCAAGTCTTCCATGGCTTGCCACGTTTCCTGAAGGTCGAGAATCACTGGGTTTATTGGTCCCCCAAACAGACGTGAGCAATGTCGCTCAGCATGGGCGTATCACACTAACTACACAAACCTCAATGTGAAACTACGACGGGCGATCCGCGTGGGTACAAGGAAGGAACTGCATCATTGTCCACTACTGCAACCTTGGCATACCTCGAGCACCAGCTTCCAAATCGCGGCAGTCAATACTTTCCAGTGGGCCGATGCATGGGCAAGGCAGCCTCACCTTGATTGGCGGCTCAACTTGTGGGCCTTTGTTCCCAGTGATGGGCCAGTGCATTAGGTAGAGATCCAGATAGTCGCACTGCAAACTCCGCATCGAGTGCTGCAGGGCAGGAAGGACCCTATTTCCTGAATACACAGCGATTATTAGACCACGACAAATCACATTGCTCCTTGGGGCCTTGCAATTGATCGACTGTGCTTTTAAGATACCACTGCAAACTTCAATTGGCTTCTTCAACTAGGACAATGTACTCCTACTGCCTGTTCGCTGTTGAGCGCACACCAGACAACTTATGAAGGACTATTACGACAATACGGTACGAGAAACCGATGTCTAGACAATAATTCGAACGACATCATCGACACAACAGCACATTTGCATTGCTGGACATGTTCTACGCAGTCCTCACTTGCATGCTCTGTATTCCACAGCTTTGACGTAATCCACAGATCTTCTCTCCGTACAACACCCTCTGCCAGTACCGTATTCAATGCATCTCCAACCTCACTCTCATTGTTGTACACTGCTGCGCAATCAATGTGACGGTAGCCTGAGCGTATCGCCATAGCCACAGCGTCCCTGACGACTCCCTTTGCAGAACGCCAAGTCCCCAGTCCAATGACAGGAATCTGGTGTCCTGAGTACAGGCACACGGGTCATGCCATGTGCTGAATAACATGTTCAACAGAGACAGAGTGATCAAGGGGACGCCATCAGGTCAGAATCATCCAGGTCACCCAGGTCAGAATGGTGGAAAAGATGTGTTGTTTTATCCGTGCTTCCACATCCATAGTTTTTATGACTTTGATCCGTGCAAACTCACGCAGGCAATCCTTGTTTCTTCACATGATACTACGTAGCACGAAGATATGGAAGCTACAGCACACAGGCGTTTAGTGGGTTCATATGTGCAACTATTACAGGATTGCGACTCTCCCATCGGCGCTCGATTTCTGCACATGTTACCCAAGAGCACCCACAAGCTTGCATAAACAGGGCAAAGCAGCTACAATCTAGAAAGCAAGTTCTATGATGCAATGTCATCCCACGCCAAATGAAAACAAGCCTCAGTAAATTACACACACCACAGTACTGGCTGTTGCTCCTCAGCCACAGCGATGCAAATTCTGCGGCTCTTGGCCTTTTCCCGAATTCAGATCACGCTTGCCTGAAATGAGAGTCGTTGTAGGAGTCACAATATTGAGGTCGTACTGGCTCTGGATGAACTTTGCAAGTCTGTGATCCTCTTCAGGATCGTCCCAAAGATCTGAAATGCGCTTGTAGGGCCCTCGGGGGTTTGTAAAATAGGAACCGTCCAGCATTCGCAACTGTGGATGGAAACTGCAGAGCCTCTGATATTCAGCTTCGGGAATGGACCAGTCCAACACGTCCAAGTTGGCCTGCGCATGGAACTCTTGTTTGTCGATCACTAATGCAACCAGAGTTGCAAGAAAGGGGTCTCAGGTACTGAGCTGGTCCAGGCCCCACTTTTCTCCCAGTAGCCATTGAGGACACTGAAACGTTTAGAATAGGCAGCAAAATCTATCATGAGGAATCTTAGCCACACGATATTGAACCCCAGCGATTGCAACGGTCACAATGCACGTGCAGAGATGTTTTCTGACCTTAGGGTTGCAATGGTAGTGCAATAATGAACAAACAGCAAGTTTATTGGGCAACCTTAACAATTAAAGTGACTGCAGCCATTGGACTTGGCACTTTCTGTGCCTGGGTCACTTGCGCCATCGACTAGAGCATGTAGGGACTGATATACAGCAGCAACAGTAGCTGCAAAGAGGCTTGGTGTGAGTGATGGTCATGGCGTGCCATGACGGTATGCATTTTCTCCACGACGGGAGCATTTCCTTTAAATTGGTAAAGGCATTGCCCTAAAAATCTCTTCCCCATTCTGGATTGCTTGGTTGATTGTAACTGCCAGGGTTGGGTGTGAATATGATACAGCAACTGCAGTTCCCTGCAAACGATATCTGAACGTCAGGATTGCAGTTAGAGACCACATATCATCCATAGCTGGGAAACAAGATGCCTAGCGCTGTTCCAATTTAGACCTGGATTCTGTCTTCATGCACGCTTTTTGGCAGTACGCTGGTGCCGTGCTGCAGAGCCCAACGAATCAGCACCTGGCAACAATGCACATAGCAGCTTCAGTCTGTGGACTGTGAATCAGGCCATGAATCCAAGCCACTGGTGCAGACAGGCATGCATCTGAGGCTACACAGAGCATGTAGCTCGAGGATGTTCAGGGGCTGCGCCTTGGTTTTAGCAGGTTTTGCCAGATTGGGGCAGACACAATCAAGCTGAACATCAGTGTCCCACCCCTCCGTACCTGTGCTGGGCTCTTCCCCAGTCTCTCTGCAATGTTGGTGACCACATCATGCCCAAGAAGCGACGGTGTCACCTTCCGCTTCAAGATTTCGGCACTGTCTGGGGAACCAAGAGGGGAGTAGGCAGTAACATGTATACCATTCTCAATGCACCACTTCAGCAGGTCATCATTTCGAAAATGAGGATGTGCCTCGACCTGAAGCAAGAGCACAGGCTTGAAACCAGGGCATGAACACATGTGCCTGCAAAATCTGTTGTGTATGTTCTTTCCAATTCTCAAAGTCTTGACAGAGCCGTGCCTGGCAACTTCAACAAGGCAGGGGACAACTACCACTGGTAAGATGCAACAAATGCCTATCGGGACAAACACAGAGTGCGCGAAGATCCAGTTCTGTGATATAACATGTTAAGCTGAGGAATTTTCAGATTGCTCAGCAATCAAAACTCTTTGATAGCAGCAGCAAAGCAACTGCGAGCGCTCTACAGTTGGTGGCGACAATGGTGAAGTAAATGCCTGTGCAAATGGACTGCAATGCCAAATCAGAAACTGGAGTCATATTGGTGCCCAAAAGTTTTGATGTGGAGTAGGGTTGACATACTGCGCACCGTTATCGGCACATAACCTGCCTGCACACTACTCTGCACACTGCTGGTCATGTAATGCCTTCTACCAAATCAAGTTGCTGTATTCTGCCAGACTGCCTAAAGATTTGCCTCCGCACCCGCACACTCTGCTCTGAAGCCGCACCTGGTTAACTGCAGGCTTTACTCGGCAGTAGCTGAGGATCTCTTTGGTCTTCTTGATGGAGAAATTGCTGATGCCAATGGACTTCACCAGGCCCTGCAACACAACACAGATGGCCAGGTGACTTGTCTCACACCATTTGTGTTGATGCACAAGGGAAGCCACAAGCCTTGCCACAGCATATAAAGTCAATGGGCAACAATCATTGGGGATAAGGGTGTGTGGGGTTCATCTAGCTGCACAAAGCATGCACCCCAGAAACAGGAAATGGCTGTCCCAACAGCCTTCACGAATACCTACATCAATCAATTTCATAAGATATATGTCTTGATGATGTCCCAGTTTTCCGCCCCCCCCTAGCATATGGTCAATATGGGGATTCTCCAGTCACCTCGTCCACTAAGGCTTCCATGGCTTCCCAGGTCTCCTTCATCGATGGCCAGAGTTCTTCTCCAGTGTTTCCTGTCACTGGATGATGCACCTGTCAACAATGACACAGAATGCTAAAGAATGCAAATAATCCAGCGCACACTAAGAAACAGAACCTTCTGAGCACAGCATAACCTAGGGAAACATCAAATTTCGCATTTGGTAATATGATATTATCAAATCAACACATTTACGTAAATCGTTCTTGCTGAGCTTTGATTTATAGGCCTGCATGTCCCTGTTGGATTGGGCTCAATGGACAGAATAAGCTAACATACTGGGCCCTCAACGGTCTTTGAAACAGCAATCGGCGACTGCTGAGAGGAATTTGGTTCTGTTGGGCAACAAATAGAACTCACTTACCAAATAGAGGTCTAAGAATTCGAGGCCAAGATCATTCAGAGTTTTCTTGCATGCTAGTTGAGCACGGTCCCGTCCATGATCAGTGTTCCTGTACAGACGAAAACAGCAAGATGTTGCTAACCTGCTGTCACGAATTTCCTGCTTGAATTAATCAATTCCACATTTTGGGGGCCAGCTCTTCACAGAAAAGGGCAACGCAAACATGCCTTTAATCGCCATGGGATGTGCCTGCAGTAGTACCGGTTTTGCAGCACGTGCAGTGGACTCGTGTGCAGAGGTGGTTTCGCCACGGGTTGATCCAGGCACTAGCCAGCCAGTAGAGGACCTATACAGAGCGCCTTGACATGGCCAAATGGGGGCGCTATTGGGGGCCCGTCATGTAGGGACCCCCTACTGTATCCTGTTGCGAGGCAAGGCACAATGTCCATGCCCGTACGCCCACCATCGCCCGGGTGTTACTAAGCCCAGACCCGCCAGGTGCTGTCCCGATTTCCGCAGTACTTAACGACAACACATCAAATTTGGACCCGTTCTGTGCGGCGCCAAAGTACGGGGTGGTGCAGGCTCGGGATTCCGTCCAGGGACAAGGTGCCAGCAGCGGCCAGCCTGACCCGGGCACCCGACAGCCCTGCGCCGTGCGGTCGCGCAGCCACCGTTGGGCCGCAAGGAACTGCCCGGCGCGGGGGCGCGACCTATGGAAGCGGGCTTGATGCCCGCCATGCCCCGTTGCGGTCTCTTCCCGTGCCGCTGAGAGTTCGCTGTGCGTCCCTGGACGACATGCGCAAAACCAGGCGACGCTGGACGGCGCGAGGCTGCTCCAGCGGACCTCAGCATCGAGCGCGTTCGGAGATGAACCGAATTTTACTCCTTTCCTGCGGAGTATGCCGCCAATGCCGTGCACAGATTCATGGGCGCAGGTTTGCACCCGAAGGGCCTCCCTGGGCGCATCGACTAAAAACGTCCGCCATCACCCGATCCCCTTCCCAGCAGCGCTACCCATGAAGTATGGTCCAACCATGACGCATGGTCCCGGCCCAAACCGACAGCCGTCAGATCGGCCTGGGGGTGATTTGAACGTGTGGGGCGCACCAGAGCTTCGATGTCACGAAGACGTCGGCCCTGCCGACCACTCCCTGCGCGAACACGGCCGACAGCGCCGCGCCCACCTCCTCCTCGTTCTTGTACTGCGACGCGCAGTCCACGTGCCGGTATCCGCACCTCAGGGCCGCCTCCACCGCCCTCCCCACCTCACCCCCTTTCGCCGATTTCCTGACCAAGTCCCGCACACCACACGCTCATTACGAACATACCCATTGCGAACATGCCCACTGTGACCATGCCACAAGGCAAGCAGGCCATTCGCAACCCAACCCTGGCACCCCACCCCACCCCTTCCCAAAGCTGTTTTGTGCGCTCATCATTTCGTGCCGGAGACTCCACATCATCTTCTCGGACCGTGTACAGGGGTCCTGCTCAGGAGGATGCCCATTGTCTGACTTGTTTCTCATGCTCTTTGTAACACATCTGGCCCCTTTTCCATGGTCCATGCGCACCATGTTCCCAGGCCCACCAGCGGCATCTCGTGCCCGCTGTTCAGCCGAGCCGTGGGGATGTCCACGAAGCGATAACCCCGAGCGGCGCGCTCGCGCCTCTTCGCCAGCTCGAGCGCCTCCGCCTCCGCCAGCTGGCGATCCGTCATCAGCGCCTGCGGCCGGTCGGGGGCCGCCTCGGTGCAGTCGTGCACGCGGACGCGGGCGCCGTTGGGCCCCGACTCCATTTCGGCTGGCGAGGCAGGCACTGGCACCCTTGAAGGAGGTTGGGCGGCTTACATACTTCGTGTCCACGAGAGTGCCGTGAGTTGGCATGACGGCTTGAGTTGGCCGCTGCCTAAATCTGTGTCCTCCAGCCCAATCACATATCATTCTGCTTCGCGACACGGCTAAGCTGCGGTGGTAACCTTACTTTGCAGAGGCCATTTCAGGGCAATGTTCCACTTTTTTCCACAGAGGAGTTTTTGTCCACCACCGTCTTTCGCTGTGTTATGTGCCTGTACCCTGCGATCGAACTGGCTCGTGCCTGTGTACAGATACAGCGCCCACCTTTGTGTGTTGCACTCGCTTTGCGGTGACATGCCAACCTGACGACGGCAGCAAATGCGCCCTTGTATGGCTGCTGACGTCCTCAGCACACCAACATCAGCGTAATGGCCCAAAGTGCCCAAGCAGGCTTCCCCAACGGGCTGCACAGAGCGAAGATCCTTCCAAGGGAGCAACCACAACCACTCTCTGTATGTGACACACTCACGAACTTTAGCGCAGCCATCAACGGGCAGTGGCCGGAGCAGAAGATGGGGAGGGCGTCCACAAAAGGCGTCCCTGACGTAATTTACCTCAAAATAGATCTTTATGGTTGAACTCTTTGACGCCGAACACGGGTAACCAGGAATTGTTGAAGTCAGTACTAATGCTCAACGTTGAGGGAAGGGGGGAGGCATCCACGTTGGTGTACGTTATGCGATATTTCACACTCCGTTAACTCAACTGTGATTTGCGACATGGTCCTTCAGAACAGAAGTTCATCCGCACGAGGACCCCCGGGTGCGGTTGTGAGTCTGTCATTGGGAAGTGCAACTCACAAACAGGAAGCAGCAACATCTCATCAGTTCTGGAACATGATCATGATCATCTATCAGATACCTAATAGATTATCATCTATTTTTGTAAGGTCGTACAGCACTGCAGCCTCGCTGCATTAGCCTCAGACTTCCAGGAGGCCTCCGCATCCGCTCCGCGGTGGATACTTCGACACAGAGATGCACGGCCTCCTCAACAACGGCCCTGCCGGACTAGCAGCCGCGGCCTTCGCTGTTTTCTGGGATCCATTTTCGTCGGAGCGTCCAGTACCTGTCATCTTCAGTCGCCATTAACGAGGATGCCAGCCCCCTACCGCCGAGCCATCTTGCGGATGTTTGTGGGAGCCCTGAGGTTGGTGAAACAGTCATTACCAACAACCCCAGACAGGCAATGCGCTATTTGTAGTCGCTGAAATGCACTGTGGACTTCAGATTGTTGCTGAAGGAAGTCCGCCCACTGTATGCACAGTGCCCCCCTTGCGTACCTTTTTGTCCCCTTGGGGGGGGAGGGGGTGGTTATTCGCTCTTGCAGTATTCGTCATCACTGGAGCGATTTTGCAATCGCCTCATGGCAACAATTGTCACCTTGCAAGCTGTTTTCGCGCGAGCGAGTCGGTTTTTGAGAGTTCTACTCTTTGAATTGTTCACAAAATGGTCCGTGGATTCATGTCGTTCGACATTCTCTGTCTCGGACGGATCTTCCGCCGCGGGTTTCACATTTGCCACATTCCTTAACGGAATTTCGTACAACAATATCATGGCGGGATTATTTTGTCATCATAATATCACCTTGTTGCCAGATTCATATTTCGCCAGTATCATTTTACCATCAAGCCCTCGTTATTTCACTAGTGTACTGCTTTGTCATCACTGTCCCATGTTGCAAACAAAGCCTCATTCTGTCCCCAAAGCCTCCTTATCTTTTTATCATCACGGTCCATATTACCATCAGAGACTATTTATTACCTCATAATTCCGTTTTGCCATCACAGACTCACTTTGTCATAGCAGTTCTATTTTCTCTTCATGGTCTCATCTTGCCGCGACAGTCTGCCCTTGTCCTCATTATCGTTTTGACCTGTTACACGGCGTAGGGAACCGATCCTGCAGTGAATTTGTGCACCCAACCTCACTGCCAACACTCAACGGTAGGGCTAGCAGGCCGCTGAAAGATGTGCGCAATCATGGCCCATCCGCAAATGTCCGATTTTATTCTGCGCTTCCGAACATGAAGCCGTAAAGCTTACGAAGGCCAAGAAGTTCATGGACATCATGAAGGTCTTCACGAATTTCATTTTCGTGTTCAGGGCGTTAGGTTTCTGGTGCCCTTCAGGACGTTGACGCCCCGTAATGATAGGTATCGAGCAATCCTCTTCCGATCGGCGACTGGATCTTAGGTACCCGAATGGTACCAATTTCCAAAATATGATTATATAGAATGCTAGGATACAAGAACAAGTCAGATCCTCTTCTTGTACCTCACTCGTGGCTTCATGTCCTTGTCGTCTTCCACCAGTTTCTCAAGACCGTTACATGGTAAAATTCAAAAGCAAATGAGCAGAAAATAAGATACAGACACCAAGTTACAGATCGAGAAAAGCTTCCCATGCTATTGCAACATTTGTGTAAATAGGTTCCATCTGTATCTGCATCCGCTGCCTAGAGACCACGAAGGCTGGCCAGCGGGCGCCGTGTGCGATTCACATCGGTAATCCAGATCGGCAGCTGGACATGAAGCGTCGCCCTTCGTTCTTGATCAACGTCAGCAGCACGTGGGACGCAAATGAAAGTATGCAGCCATGCACGCATTTTCCCACATCCGAACAATGTAAGCACTAGCTCATCGTTGATTCTGGGTCCATTTCGGCAGCAGTTGAGAAGCAAATGCGCATGCGTGCAGGCTTTATTTCGTCATCCGAACTGTTCAATTCTGTATGCCTGACCCACGAGGCAGCAGCGGTTTCTCTGTGCCATGTTCAACTCCCGGGAAATGTATCCGGCGGCATCCAGGACCCCACACAGCCTGTGGCTCTCAGGCAACAGCATGGCACTTGCAGTGATAGTCAAGCCTTGCAGTTGAAAATTTACAAGCGCGTCAGTTGTATTTTCTTTGCCTCGACTCCCTCAACCATGATGTTCAAAAGCAAAGCGCAAGACCAACTGCAACGCCGAGATCAGGATCAGGTGCTAAGAGCTTACAGCTCCTGAATGTGTGACTGCAAGGTGTCCGTAATCAGGCGCGATCCGGGACCACAGGCGCTTCCTCGAGCTTGAGACCCAGGGCGGCACCTCTGGGCGCTGATGTTGCCCAATTGCGCACATCTTGAACTCAATTGTCAAGCTTTTCTGCAGTGACTTATGAAACTGCTGCCCCCAGTCTACCAACGCCAATAGAACAGGCCAACGAGCCCTGTGCAGGCATCTCCCTGAGCCGCTCGCAGTGAAGACTACTGACTGTTGGGGCGAGCCCAGTGCAGCCATCGACTGTCATGAAACGAGGATTGTGCGATACCTGTTGTCTTCGGACATCACGGTGCTAAGGACCTAGAACCCTAAAATCCTGAATGCCGAAAGCCTAACACCGCAAGAACCAAATGACCTTCATGATCTGTCCGGCCTCACGAGTTAATGAATGCATGACCATCACGACTTTATGTCCGGAAGTGAAGGGTGTCGGACATTTGTGCCCTAAATGTGCGTCCATATTTGTTGTCTTGTGAGGGAAGGCGCTATCAGCTACAGGGATGAAGAGAGGTGTGTATCACTGTTTGCGTGTGCGCAAGGCTCATGTGCTTGCTCCGCTGGCCGCCCGGCACGCTGGGCTGAACTGAGACCAGCGTTGTCCACGCCCCAGATGATGCCAGGACAGTTTGCTGGTTGGGCTTGCTTAGGGGACAAAGTCTCTCGCGAGGGAAGAGCGCCGGGCTGGTATTGTTACCCTCAATGAGTTCGCAGTGAAGCTAAGCGCAGGTTGGAAGAATCCAGCAGGGCATGAGGGCTCCAGCGCAAACCAGTCCCTCGGCATTGCTCCAAGATGAGTCACTCGTAGATTTGGCCTGCGGCTGGCGCCCTGCCGCCCATGCTGTGAGCAGCTGGGCCGTGCGCACGGCAAAGCTGTGAGTGGCCGATCTGGGAGCAGAGGAATAGAAGAGCTGCCCAAAACACAGCTGCACAGCTGAAGAAAAGCCACAGCCCTTCAGGGCGCCGGACCGTCCATTCACCCAAACAGTCTGCCTTGCCAAACTATGCCCGAAGTGTTGGGGTGGTCCCTGCTGCAGGGTGGGCGCTACGAACATGGCGTGTGTTCGGCACCGAGGGACGTGCTGCAGGCAGATGACGCAGGCGGCGGGTCGGATGACGCACACTAATGCCTATTTTCTGGCAAGTCAGTAGTCTGTGGCTGCATTGCGTTCTCAGTTCCACGTAAATGGATGCGCCCCACGACTGTGTCTGTGACCGTTGCTGCTACGTGTGCAACCCGTTCAACCTTGTTCCTTCTGGCCCTACCGTGGCGGTGCTCTAGGTTGCAATCTGGCATGTTGTGAGCTGTGCCATGGCGATATCCACGCGCCCAAAATGGACCTCGAGGTCCACTGGCGGCTGCTCCTACATGGATTGCTCATGTGTGAGAGTTCTCACATATATGTGACACATATATGACTTGCTCATATATATGAGCAATCCATGTAGGAGCAGCCGCCAACGCTCAGCGACCATGTTGGTCCGGGTGTCATTGCTCCCCATGCGCGTCAGTCCGGCAGGCAACACCCCGTGTGAAGAACACGTGAATAATCAGCCGTTGTTTTGCTCCTGGTGCCTCGTGAAATCTCTCGTCTGTCCTGGTCCTCTCTGGACCTCCCACTATCATTTGATTCTGAAAGTCACAAGCTACACTGGTGTTCGGGTCGCCAATTAATGGGGTTCATCAAAAACGTTAGTGCATAAATGATATCACGCAGCTGGCGACCCGTGAGGTCCAGATATGGTGCAGAGGGGATGTCGACAGCCTCAACACCTTCGCCATACTGAAAATCATCCAGTAGTTTGGCGCTCAATGAGGCAGAAACCCCAAAACATCAATCAGGGGTGCTCTATACATACCCCAAATACACCCTGGAGTACTGAGGAACACCCAGGTTGCCACTGGACACGTGAGTTTCTTCAGGGGCTGCCCGCCTGGCGGTCTGCCGTGGATCATGGCGAGACGGATCCAGGAGGGGCGCGTGGAGGCGCCACATGGTTGTTTGATGGGAATATGCCCCGTGGGGCATTACATGGTTGCTGACCACGGGAAGTGTGGTTGTTTGGTGAGAATGTGGCCTTTGGGGCACACGTGGTGGCTGATTGTGGCCAGTGGGGCGTCCTGGGTTGAGTTGTGGTGAAGCGGCGGGCGTGTCACAAAGATTCTGAGTATCAAAAGAGCATCTCTTAGGCATGGGTGGTACTTTTGCCGGAAGGGTGCGGACAGCACGAAGGGGAACTCTGAATTGTAACAGCGTTTGCGTGGGGTCCATGTGTGTCTCGCGCGGCGGTTTAGGCGCTCGGCCTGGCTGCCTGACTCCCCTGGCCCTGTGTGCGATGTTCGCCACAGCCTGAGCGCAATGGCGCTCGACCTTTTCGAAGGTCACGGCCAGTCTGTGCCTTTTCTGAGCTGCTTTCCTTGCCGCTCAAGACCAGTAGTGCCAGCGCGGTTTTGCTGCAGAAGCGACCACCCTTCGTCGCTGCACAGCCTTGTCGAGGCGGACTGAAGTGCTTCCCGTATCATACGCCGACGTGCAGTGGACGAGGCAGCCCTGACCCGCGGACCCGACCTCCGTTTTGACTTCGTCGACCGTTGAGGAGCGGTTGCGACCGATTGCGGCGCTCAGAGCGGCAGCTGTGAGAGGCGCTACAAGCGTACTTGCATGGCTGGCTGGCAGTTGGGGGTTTCGCTACCCGTTTGAAGCTTCTCCTTGCCGTCGCCTCAATTTTGTTGGTCGTGTCGGCATGCCAAGCAGTTCTTCGTGAAGCGCCGGCTCGCGCGAGGGGCGAAGCTTGTTCGTTGAGTGCACCCTCAACTGCTGTGGTGCTGAGGCTGTCGACATGTCTCAGCTGCCCGTTTGAGGGTGATTTTACTGCGCTATCTCCGGGGGCGACGGCCAGAATGGACCGCCGTTCTTTGCACTGGGGATTGCCAAGCCCGCAAGTATCCATTGTTCAAGGTATTTCAGGGGACAAATGTTGAACAGCTTTTGCCCATGATAGTAGGTATCTGCATCTGAAATACTCAGATCCTTTCCTTGCTTTCCTCGCTTTCTTTCCCCCTCATTCACCAGCCACTAATGCATCATTTCACATCAATAAAGAAACATCCATTACATCCGGCTTGTTCCTTGATGCCGTGCAAAATGAGTGCTCTTGATACCGCTTTTATACAACTCCGTTTGTGCCACACTCGGGCCACCCAATGCTGCAGATCACAGGCAATGGCATGCATTTCGAACTCTCGAGTACCACAAAGCGTGCGCGTCTACTCTAAGGCAGGGCATCGTGCGGTCATTGGTTCAACCCAATTTTAGATTGCGCCGCACAACAAAGGCCAGTTTTGGAAATGAGGCTATCGTGCCCACAAAGCACAGAACCACAGAATGCGCAACCCTGGAGAGAGACAGCGGTGCCTACTTTTGCTGCCAGGTCCTGCCATTCAAGCACTGCATGCAATACGCTCAGGCACAACGCAAAAGCTTCTCAATTTGGTTCATTGCCACAAGCTGGAGGATCTCTTGGCGTAGAAGTAGTGTTGGGGCCACGGCAGCTTGAATATTACAACATGGCGGTTGGCGAGCCGACAAAACGCATTTGCATCAACAGTGCTCCATGGGCAACGTCGCAACGCAAAAGTGCGACCAATGTGTTATGGGAAGCTGGACGCAATGTACTGGTACGAGGGCGTCCACGCACATCGCCATGACTTACTCCCTTTCAGGGTATATTTGACCACGCAGATTGAGCGGAATCAGCCACATGCACGGGCAACACTCGCAAGCTGTCTTGCGCACCACAGGCACAAAAACACAAGTCTCAACATTCCATGGGGCACTGTGCATCATTGCGTCACCAAAATCGTCAAATCTTCTGCCCAACTGCGTGTACATCTCACAATATCACATGTAGTGTATTTCGAATTGGGGTGCAGGTACGCCCTCCTTAAGGAGTTGTCAAGCCTGTTGTACACCTCTTTGCCACGTTATTCCCTCGCCTGCAGAAACTGCTGCTCCGAAGATACACTTCTCCTCACTGCCGCGAAACTGCCTTCCACATCCCAATCATGGTGGCAGCAACCTTGACAACATTGAAGATCTTCTCCCATTTATTCTAAGAGCATTTCAGAGCCCGAATCAGGAGCACTGACCGAAATCTGGCAGGCAAAAAAGAAACATCGTTCCTATAGCACGCGCCCACGCTCCAAGCTCTGCTCATCAATACCACATCCACATTCTCCTGTGGACCGCTACGTTGCTACGGCTGTGAATTGCAGTTCATACAAGGTCACCAGGATCCCACATCGCGGTCAGGGACAACCACAGCCTTCTAATTTCCTTCAAGGGATTCTAACAGTGATATACATGGACGTTCCTCGTTGTTGTGCGACGATTTGTCACACCCACAACACCTCCTGCAGTTGAGCAGCGTCTGGTGATATTCAAACCTCAGCTGCTTCTACAGATCCTGCAGTTCCACAAGGTTGTCCACACAAGTGCTAGCCCTTGACGGAACGCTTGTATGCGCCCTGGGATTCCGCACAATGGGCCTGTGTGCAGCCCGGCGCTGGAACGATGCTGAAGGCATAGAGGTCATCTTGGGTTCGTCCTCCTTCGAATCACCTGAGTGCCGTGCTGCCTCGCGCTAGATGGTGGTTCGTCATCCAGCCAATTGTTGAACTCAACATCAGGAACCACTCCCACCCATGTAGGGCTTGGCCTAACAGCACCCGTTCGCCTCCTGCCACTGCCACTGGCTTCCTGTATTTCCTGTATTTCGGATTGGTTTCGGGAAGAGATCTGCAGGCGCATCTCCCTGGCACACGCAGCTATCTCGCCTTCCGATGGCTCCTCGGCCACCCCATAGTCCACAGGCCCTTCCTGTTTTGGGCCCCCAACGCTCGCAAACGGCGATGCAAAAGGCGATGTCATCACAGGGTCATTTGCTGCACCTTTCCGAAGAGTGGGATCTTGGGGAGGAGATTCTGCCACTGTCGGGCAGCGCCTGGGATGGCTTGATGATGTAAGCCGATGGGATCGGGCCCTGGAGCCCCTTCTCTTCACCTGGCCAGACTTGGAGCAACGCCTATCCACCTTCTGAACACGGGGCACATCCACACGAATCTCACTCAACCCTGGGTCGCTGGCAATTTCATCATCCGATGACCAGCAACATGTACTGCAGTACGATGTACTGCTGCCGTCGTCCTCCCAGTTCGATTCCTCTGTCATTTGAGTCATTGGGACATCGTAGACATCGAAGGTGGCCATTGCATGCACGTCAAAGCTGTTAACAGGTTCCTGGGACGTTGAAATCATGTCGAACTCTGCGCTGGCACTGCCACATTTCTTGGCACTTGGGGACGAGTTCATCCTCTTCGCAAGGCCCTCAGAGCGCTGCTGCAGACGTCTTTGCCGCTTGCGAGACAACGTGAACACGGCCACCATAATGAACACAAGGACCGCCACAAGGGGCACAACAGTAATGGCTACTGGAAGCAGCCCCTTGAGGTCTTTGTCGGACTCTTCGCCAGGGGGCAGTGCAGGGGCCATGCCCCCGTCTGGGGTTCCAACTGTTACTGCGTCAGGCTCCCGCTGGACTGAGGCTTCATACTGCAAGGACATGGCCATAGCTTCATGAGTGCGGCAAAGGCAAACATTCCCACTTTCTCAGTCGTGTGAAAGTCTTGTGTGCCCACAATACCCACACGTTTGTCTTCAGACCAGGCATAGTACTGTGCCCACGCATACAAATAGCTCACACGATCGCATGTTAGACAAAGCAGGAAAATGCGTTTTGCAGCACAATGTACACAAACAGGTTCACTCGAGATCAAGTGCCACAATCGACAACTGGTGCATGAACAGACTGGCAACTCAAGCACTGCATGCACTGGATTCCTCACCTGCAACATGACCTTTATTTCAGAAATCGCAGGGTCCGTAGAGTTGGTGAGCAGTAGATCCATGGGAGTCAAGCCTTGCAAATCAACTGCAGCATAATCTGCCCCAGCAGCAATCAATTCGCGAACATTGTTTGGATGGATATTGACCACAGCAAGATGAAGCGGAGTTCTCCCATCTTGGTTGGTCGCATCTTCATCGGCCCCTTTACCCAGCAGCAGACGAAGAATCAAGACATCCTGCTTTGTGGCAGCAACGTGAAGTGGTGTTTCAATGCGGACGTCGGAAACATCCACAATGGCATCGTTCTCGAGCAACAGCTTCACAGCACCCCTGTGCTGAGCTTCCACAGCGACGTGCAGCGGCACAGAACCAAATCTGCATTTGCAAGAAGTATAGTGAGACAGACAGAAAGCACCAAGCTGCTGCCCTTCCAGATGCCCAGGTCAATTCTTGTATGGGGTACAACACAGACTGCACAGTTCTGCACTATTCGACGATGAAGCAAGACAATTGTCCATTAACCAACTGTACCAATTATACGCAGAGACCGCCTCCTTCCTAAATTGAATGCAGAAAAATACATTGCAAGCACACCAGGAAGATTTAGTCCGGAAAACAGTTGCAAGAAGCCAACAGAATAGGGAAACTTCAACAAAACAGGCATAGTTTGCAAACCAACTCTCACTTGCTCCGTCGATTGATTATCTGCCCAACTGCTCCGGTTTGTGGTGTGTCATCCTCTGAAGATCGCTCTGCAAGGGTCTCATCATAGTCTATCAGCAGCCGCATGACTGATACATGACCATGGCGTGTTGCTATGTGCAGTGCTGTCTCTGCGTTTGTGGTTGTCATCAGATGCAGGGGCACACTTCCTGTTGCATTTACCCTGTCAGACCTGTCATCGCAAAACCAACTGCTCAGCCCATGTCACCAGACAGATGCATGTGCACACATGCCTTAGGCAGATGCCTAAAGTACGCTCAACAAAGCACATTGCATGTTCGCTTGTCCATGTGTCACACACGCTTGTTGTCTGTGTTGTATCTGTTGCTATGTACGCTGTATATGTTGCATAGGTTGCATACATATGTTCCATGGTTTCCCACGTGCATGATCCCTTAACATATTCATCATGTCATCCTACAATGCAGCCTCCACCAAAGCAAATGGCCATGCTCTGCATCACCTAACCATTCCGAATGTGCATTTTGGACAACAGCATAAAAAACAGGCAACTTGTGCTGCCAACCACTGAGTTTCAAGATAGGCTGAGCACACTCCATTGTAATCGGATCCAACACAATTCACAAATCGTCAAGAGCCACTCACGCAGCAAGGAGCTCGCGGATGACTCCAACATGACCATCCCTTGCCGCCATATGCAAGCCCGTTTCCCCATATTCCGAATCTGCTGCCTTTATGTCAGCTCCTGCATCTATCAGAATCGACACTGCATTTTGATACCCCTCGCGGCATGCAAAGTGGAGTGCTCTTTCCCCCGATTTGTTGGCAGCATCAATATCAGTGTGGGCATCCAAGAGTTGAGTCATCACTGAAGTGCGGCCTTCTTGCGATGCGGCCATCAGCGCAGTGTCACCATTGGAGTCACCCTCCTCAGGGTCGGCACCCTGTACAACACAACATGCAACACATGACCAGCATCGACCACTGGGTGGGAAGGAAGTAATCTGAATTTCCACCAGAAAGTACTCAAAGAAGACTAACGATTTCCACAGGGTGGCATGCTACAGCATGAAGCCAGCATCCAACAGCTGTCAGTAACACCACTGCATAAAATCAGCAGGTCCATATTGCCTGTTGGGGGCTGCATCACTTGACTGGGATCACTGCAAACAATAGCATTCTTGCAGTGTTGGACTGACTGCGCCCTCACTTGGGCCAAGCTGCTCACACAGCAGGCCTTGCTGACTGGACATTCACACTCTTATTACACATACTTACATTGTCTAGGAGGACTGCCACCACTGCAGAGTGGCCATCCACAGCTGCAACGTACAGCGCAGTCTCTCCGTGCTTGTTTCTTGCATTCACAGCAGCCTTTGCGCCGATCAGAATTTGTACAACCCGGCTTTGTCCCTCCTCTGCTGCGATGAACAATGGGGTTTCTCCATCAGTGTTCGTTGCATCCACCCTTGCTCCAGCATCCAGCATGGTTCCTATCACTTGGACCCTGCCATGCTTGCCTGCCACATGCAGGGGCGTGTTGCCCTCACTGTTGACAGCATTGACTTTGCCACCAAGCTCGATGAGTTTGCTCAAGGCTGCATGCTGCCCCTGTCTGGCAGCCGCAAAGAGTGGCGTCTCATCATTGCTGTTGGGAGTCTCCATACTTGCACCAGACTTGAACAGAACCTGAAAGCCATGACAATACACACAAGCTGTCGAAGAAGGACTGCACAAGGTTCTCCAACATGCATTCTTTTATTTGCTTTTGTTGATGGCAAAAACTCCATATATTCATTTTCCTACCAATGCAGCAATTTCTGCTGTTTGTGCTTTGTCTGCGGTGTGTAAAATTTCTTTTGCTCTCACGGGGTGTGTGCGTTTTGTGTACAGCTGTGTCCATATTGCACATGTCTTGCATACATCCATAAAATTTGCATTTGCTTCTGCCCAAACGAAAATTTTCACCACTCAGCTTTTTCCACCACATGAAAAGATGAGACTGTCAAAAGCTGCATTTGATACGCAGAACAACACAGATCGACAAATTGTAGTATCACACCTCAACAACTTCAGCATGGCCTTTTTCTGCAGCGATGAAGAGTGGAGTCCTTCCCTCAGCATCACGGACTTCCTTTCTTGCACCGTGCGCCAAAAGTAAGTCCACCATTTTTACTTGGCCCCTATCAGCAGCTACCCAGAGTGGCGTGTTGCCGATTGCATCTGTCGTCTCCGTGTCAGCACCATGCTCCAGAAGAACCTCCAAGATCTCAGTCCCGCCACCTGCTGCTGCCAAGTACAGTGCACTATGCCCCTGGCTATCTTCAGCATCGATGTCGATGTCTGGATTGTGCTTCAGCAACTCTTGGACTGTCAAAATATCACCCTCTTGGGTGGCATCGCGCAGAGCTTGCTCGTCCTGGCCCAAATGCGACAAACAGTTATCAGGGCTATCAACCACAAGGCAGTGCAGCTACACAATCAAGCAGTCGCAATAGTTTGACAGCAACTGTGCCACAGAACTTGTGTTGAGATGGCGCACATCTGTTCCCTGCTGCCAATGCAGTACATGCCACACTGCACAAACACTCCAGGCCATCCACAAAAGCTGGTGGAAACATGCATGGTTGAAAGCCCTACATCTTGCCCGGCGGATGCAGCCAAAACAGACTTACTCTTCAGTACTTCCCTTTCAGGTGGGCGCAAATGGCCCAATTTCCAGGAGAATGCTGTTTTCCCATGGACATTGTATATTTGCAAATGGAATCCAGGGGGCTCAACGTCCTTTACTACTAAACCTTTAAGTACCTCTAGGAACTGCCAGGCAATTTAATGCACAGCAACAAAGACCACAAGCACGGTCAAGGACGCACCTTTCTCTTTGCATTGCTCCGCACCCTCTCCTGACCAACTGACACAGTTCCATTGCCGTTGTCCAGCGTACCTTCTGCCCCCGTGTTTCCAAAAAACCCTCCAGGGGACTGCGAGGGCGCAGGCGCCTCTAGTGGTCTGAGCAGACGAAGGACATCAAAGTGGAATCCTTTCTGTGCCACGAATTCTGGCGTCCTGCCATTGGCGTCCTTTATTGTCTTGTCTGCTCCTTCCTCCAAGAGGAGTGAGACCACTTCCGCGTGACCATTTGCTGAAGCAACCAGGAGGGGGGTCTCGTCATTGAGGCTCCTGGCGTTCACATCAGCCCCAGCCTTCAACAGCGTGACCACCACGTTCCCGTGGCCTCCCAAGGACGCCCAATGGAGCGCGGTCCATCCCTTTGCGTCTGTTACATCCACAGAGGTGCCTGCCTGGAGCAACTTCTTCACAACCCTCGTCGACCCTTCCTTCGCTGCCTTCAGGAGCGGGTGCAAACTCGCCATGCACGCTTCGAGAAACTGCATCGTCAGCAAACGCGATCAGCACACCGCACCGAACATTCGCGGCAACGGGCAGCCCACCCTTCCCCCGGGCCTTCTATTCCTCCATTATTAATCCGGTATCAGTGTCAAAAGATGTAACAACCGCGCACAAAGTACAATCAGGCCCGGGAGCAACGAGGCTATATCGGGCGTGGTATCTGTGAAAACAGCGCCTTCACTCGCCCCAAAAAGTCTTCTCCTTCCCTGCCCCGACGATCGCACAGTCGCGGCAGCCGTCCTGTTTGTGTGGGCGTCCCGCAGTGACGATGCGCCGCGCTCGCCAGGCCAGGGCCACCAGGCGACGAGCGCCCGGTCAAATGCCGCAATCAACACCGACAGGGGCCACGCGCCGCACGCGCCGCTGCCCACCGGCGAGGGCGACCAACCGGAAGGCCACCGCCCCCGCGTCTGCCGAAGGCGCACTGCGTGCCATTGCACCCTCCTCGTCGGTCAGCATCTTGACGCGCTCCTTCTCAGGAAGGAACGAGAAACCCTCAACGAGGGGATGCAGCTGCCCAACCACTTGAGCACCCCAAGGCCTGGCGCCCTGTAGCTCACACTGCCAGAGCGAACTCCAGAGGCCTCCGCCTCAAAGCCCGAACAAAATCGACATTGCCCGCGAAACGACACGATTTCAGCCCCCTCTGCATGCCTCCGCGGAGCGCCATGGGCTACACATGGACCGGTGCACCCCCCCCCCCGCCCCCCATTGGCAGCAATTGCATGCATCCGCATGAATCCGCATGGCACCCCGCGCATCCTCCCCTCCACCCGCCCAACACCGACCTCACCTGCGTGCCACCTCCCCTGCCGGGCAGTTATTCTGATGGCCCTGCTGGATGCGGAAGTTGACGACCCCAGGCACACCCCGACAAACCACCCCCCCCAAAGCTGGCTGAGCGTTCAAGGCGCCCGGGCCGGGCACCGCCGCGCTCTTTCCGGGAGCCCGAGCGGGGCGGCTCGCGGCCGGAGCATCCAGGCCCGCGCGGCTCCCGGCGCTCAGCTAGCGTCCTCTCAACGCAGCCAAGTTTTTTCTTTGCGCATGGGCGCACGCGGCCATAATGCCACCCGTCCTCCACCCCACCCCCCCTTACTCAAGCATCCAATGTTCCGACGGCGGATGGGGCCTGTCTTGTCAGCGGGCCTCTGAACGTGTCCGGTCCGCATCCGACATGGGGGCGCAACCTCAGACTTGTCAAAGCAGAGCGGGGGGAAAGGCCCATGCGTTGGCCGCCGTTCATCTGTATCGATGTCGGGCGTCGCATGCGCCCTCGTCGTGCTCCTCTGCAGTGGGTGCCATGATGCAGTCCTTGGGCGATTTGAATGTGCGCCATGTGTCCAGGTCACCAAGAGCGCGAAGAAAACACGGTCCATTGAACGGGCCACAGGAGTGATGTCGTTGCGCCAGCTCGCAGTCATTTTCAGGAGGAATAGCTGAAAGGAAGGAAGAATGGACGAATGGAAAGGAAAATCAATTAGCTTTTGAATGAAACGCTCTTTGATGAAGGTGACGGAAAACCGGAAGTGGCAGTCGCTGCACTTTGGCAGAATCGCCGTGGGACTGAACAAGCCATCCGAGTGCCAAGGATGCGCCGTTTTCATCATGAATGCACAATACAAGTTCAATAGCAAAAGGGACCACCTGCTACAGAGCGAGAGCCTAATACAACTGGTGCAGTGCACTGAAACGGCAGTACATTTCATATCAGTGTGGTGGCTGTTGAAATCGCCAAGATGGGATCGTTACTTCCCCGGGGGAGTACAAAGGCCATTGTACCGAAACGCTGGGTTGTATGATTGCCCAACGAGAATAAATGGGGATCATTGCAAGGGGGAGCATTGCCCATTCCATTGGCTCACCCCTGTCAGCCTTCGTGCAACAGCTATGCAGCCCACCTCGCGATTTTAGCGAGCTCGCAAAATTAAATCGATTTGGAATCTATAGGAAAGACAGATGTTCCGAGCCCGTGCCCAGGAAATGTATGAAAGGCTGACAAGAATCTGCACCGATGACAGTGAAATAGATACTGCTTAAGTTAGCCAGCATAATCTGCCAAAATTTCAGCAACCTCATCCGACCAACCGCAAGGCTCCATAACCAATCCAAAACACAAAAAGGGGAATGCACAGCAGCCTATCAAAAGGCGTTCCTGGTTGCCTGTTGCAGTGCAATTTCATGAATTTCGCTGTTGCGAGCATCCACTTCCATTCTGATTAGAATTCAGGAAGGGAATCATCCAAGTTGATTTGTGAAATTAATCGGTTCAAATTGGCCATTGTTGCTTGACCGGGCCAGCTGTCGTTCATGATGGCCACTCGGATTTGCTGTTTCTGTATTGATGACATTGTCAGCGGTCGAGTTTTGTACCACAATAACGGGCTGCAAATGCTGTAGACTGCATCACATTTCTCGCGTAACATTTGGAACATATCCCATCGAGAGCCTCTTTCGCATCTGACCGAGAGCGAGCTCCTTAAATTACATGTACCAACTAAAATTTTGCGAACCAGTAGTTCAAACGCTTTTCATCTTAAGGCTTAAGCACTGTCTGCATGACTTGCTTACTCTCCTGCACCCTCTCTGCGAGGTGCATGGTGCACACAGACAGCTGTGCTGCGAGTCTGTCAGGCCCGAAAACATTCTCGTCAGAAAAGCCCTGGTTTGCCCACTTACCAGTTGCGACATGCATGAATTGGTCAACCTCCAATCCCCCCTCCTGCACGGGATGTTTCACAACTGTAGTGTCGCAATGATGGAAGTTTCCCCTGAAAAGCCCATGGATACGTCCCGGACCAGTATCCGAGCACACATTCTCTATCAGACAACTCCCTCTGGCGCTGACTTGGGAACGCATCACTGCAGGCAGCCCTCTCCGGCTGTATCCGCACAAACCCATATGCTCGAGTGGTCTGCAAACCCGAGAGCCACCGCGCCCAATACGCCCATTCCATTTTTGCGGGCAAACAATGGTTTACGCTGCAGCCTCGCCTTCAACCCTCCAGGTGTCGCCATTCAGATCATTCGGCAGAATCTGGAATCTCTGAAACTAGCGAGGTTCAGGCGTCAAGCTTCTATACAACGCGGTGTCCCACAAGCTTCAACTGAACGTATTGACGCACTGAATCACACGGCCGTAAAGGACAACATCCCCACTGCTGACCTCCCCCCTGGCATCCGCAGAAGTTGCAAATGTTGTTCTGTGTTACACACATCCACTCTCACTCCCCTTGTTCGGCCCTTCCCACGGCCTCCACGTGCACGCCGGACGACTCGGCAGCCGTCCCTCCGCCCCCCGCCGCGCCCTTCCGCCTCCCCTTGAAGTTG